ATTTTAGCGGGGTTTTTTAAGGGTAATTTTAAGGGTAATTTTAATGATTGGCCTTCTTAAATATTTTCTTTTAATTCGGTTTTTAATATAGATATTATTGTATTATTGTATTGTGGTTTTTATGAGGCTGTTAGCCGCCCTGAGTCCTATGAGGAGAAGGGCGGGGTACAAATTAAATTATTATTATTATTATTATTAACTCCAGAGTTCCCCAGTCAGTTGAAGTTCACCCATCTTAAAGTTGCCAAGGTTGAGAGATACTGACATAGAGGATAACCATCATTCAGATTTCATAATGAGAAGACAGGAAAATGCCATCCTCCTAAAGCAGTGGTGGCGAACCTATGGCACATGTGCCAGAGGCGGCACTCAGAGCCCTCTCTGTGGGCATGCGCGCCTTGCTCCAGCCCTGCGTCCCTCCATGGCCTCCTCCTCACCAGCAGCCCCCCCAGAGGAGAGTCACTCCTGGGAACGGGCCGCATGGAGCAGTGCAGCCAAGGACATGGCAGCCGGGCAGCAGGGACAAAACTCCCGTCACTCCCTGTGGGGCACGGGCGGGGTGTGTATGGCAGCCATGGCACTGCAGGGCCACGTGGGCGATCTGTGGCGGGCCGTGGAGGCGGTGGGTGGCCCTGTGGTGGGGTGGGGTGGGGGTGGGGCAGGGCAAGCGGAGGGTGGAGCGGGGGCAGAGCGGGCATGGCAGGGGGTGGAGCGGGGCTGGGCCGGGGCGGGTTTGGGGCACTCCATCTCTAAAAGGTTCGCCATCACTGTCCTAAAGAAATAAAACTAAACAACCCTGTGACCCATTGGGTCATCCTTTGAGAGAAAGGTGAATATTTGTAGGGGGAAACAAACTTCATAATAAGTTAACTAATATTAACTTACTTAAACAAATAAACAGGAAGACCACAGTTGGGCAAAAAAGCGGTGGGAGCAGGAGCAACCTCTGACTCCTGCCATCTTCCCCATTTACTTTGCTTGGGGAATGGTAGAGAGAGTCAGGAATCACAACTGGGAGACCACAGGGACGCTGCAACAGCCACAAGTGTGCAATTCAAACTGGACTGAACATTGTGGAAATTGCAATTCTGCAGAAGTACCGAGTCCTGGATTTTTGTGCATTCTTTAAGTTAGCAAGTTTTAGGTACTCAGTTCAAAAATTGTGGTAGTATAATGTCTCATTTGGGTTAACTGGAGGGTACAAGCAGACAAACATAATGAAAGTACATAGTAGTATATAGATGCTTGAGAAACTCATAATATATGTTATCCTGTGTTAGATATATGATTCTACCCATCTGTACATCAATTTATGCCTTTGTCTCCTTCTATATGGGCCCTCCTTAAGAAAGTTCACTCTATCAATTAGCCCATGTTGCTCACTTCATTGCTGTTTCTCTTATTCTATCAGGTTCCCTTCCAGAAAGACTGTGGTGAGGATGGAATTTGTGTTTCTGATCTTTCCGTATCTTTTAACTTCTCAGGGTGAGTAAGGTGTGGTGTCCATGGTTTTTTAATTCTGTCCTTCGCTGGTCCAAACTTGGATCCCACGGAAAGACATTATGTGGTGCAAGAGCCAAAAGATACACAATCAGAATAGATCTGGAAGGGATCTTGGAGATCTTCTAGTCCAACTCCCTGCTCAAGCAGGAGACCCTATACCAGTGGTGGCGAACCTATGGCACGGGTGCCAGAGGCGGCACTCAAAGCCCCCTCTGTGGGCACCCATGCTGTTGCCCCAGCCTTGCCTCCCCCCGTGACCCCCTCCTCTCCAGCAGCCCCCCTGAAGGAGAGTCACCCCCGAGTGTGGCCCACACGGAGCAGCGCGGCCAAGGACATGGCAGCCAGGCAGCGTAGACACTCTGCCCTCACACCCCATCATGCAGTTGATGCTGCAGGGCGCGGGTAGAGGGTGTGGCCGCCATAGCGCTGCTGGGCTGCCTGAGCAATCTGCGGTGGGCCGTGGAGGCAGTGAGTGGTCCTGTGGGCAGGCGGGGCGGGGTATGAGGGGGCAGAGTGGGGACGGGGCAGAAGGCTGGAGCGGGGCCGGGGCCAGTTTTTGGGCACTCGGTCTCTAAAAGGTTCGCCATCACTGCCCTATACCTTATACACCTCAGCCATCCACTTGGAAGTGCTACCTCTGATTGGTAGGAAGCTGTGCGCAAGCTGAGAGACAGATCCAAGATTATTGTGAAATCATACATAAAATACCAGAGCCTGTGAATGTTGTTTCTTCCACAATCCTCTTTATATAATGGGTCTGAAATGCATCGCTTGGATTGTGTCCTGTATCTGTTTCTATCAGTCCTTTTGTGCTGGAGATGGGCAATCTAGTGGTTTGCAATCAAGGCCAGCCCATCAAATGCCCATTTTAATTGCTTTTGTGCTCTGCTAACATTGGCCATTGGATAGAAGAGGTTACATTCATTTTCTTGTAATTCATGTAGTAGATTTAGCGACAATTTCTACATTATGGATGTTGGGAAGTGGAGACAGACAGAAAGTCACCTTGGCACTGAGGAAATATTTTCCATTGTTATATTTCAGATCTAAAGGACTGAAGCTGAGTCCAAATTTCATACTAAACCTAACAGTGGAACTAAAAAATCTGGGAGAATTGGCATATGAGCCGGTTATTTCCTTTTACTATTCTTCTGTTTTGTCCTTCCAGGGAGCTTCAGTTCTTCAGGTGAGTTTGATGAATTTGGGGGGGGGGGATATAGTGGGGAGGAAAAGAATGGGGGGGGGATTAAGGTGGCAATGCTGGACGTTTGTAGATCAGAATTCGGGTGTCACCAGTAGGGTCACCTGGCAGCTATGATCTTGCAGAGTTGGTTGATCTAGAAAAAGATCAGCCACTGTACAGTCAGCATAGAACAGTGGTGGCAAACCTACGGCACGGGTGCCAGAGGCGGCACTCAGAGCCCTCTCTGTGGGCACGCGTACCATCATACCATTCCTAGGCCTTCAGCTGGGTTTTATAAAACCTTTTCGCTTTAGGCCTCCGCCGCTGTGTGCAAAAAAAAAAAAAAAGGTTCAATCAGTCAATTTCAACTTCTCGCGGGAAAAAAAAGATCTTGCAAAGTTGGAATTGATTGATTGAACTTTTTAGTCCCACCCAGTCTGCCGTTACCACTGCAGCCACGCTCACCCAATGGGCCATGCCCACCCAATGGGCCACGCCCACCCAATGGGCCACACCCACCCAGCACTCGACGATGCATAAGTGGGTTTTGGGTTGCATTTTGGGCACTCAGTCTCTAAAAGGTTCGCTATCACTGGCATAGAACATCAGCTAGCAGGAGAAAATATACAGCTGCTGTATATAAACAGGGAGAAAACCCCACACTCGCCAGCACTGATGACATTACCTAGCTGGGTAATGAAATGTCTGAAAGCAAACAACCAAGCTCAGAGAGCACCAAGGATGCTCCATGATCTAGAAAAAGACAAGCAGCCTCAAACCAGCTTAAAACGTACATAGATGGGAGAATATTAGGAAACCCCGGGGATCTGATTCAGACAGAAATCTAGAAAAATTCCCCTCCGAAGATGACAATGGCAAGCTCCCCACATAGCAGTCTGTTGCAAAGCAATCTGAAGCTAACAGAAGTCTAAGCAACCAATCTATGCAGCAATATATTAATTTCCCCTTAATTATCGGGAAAAAGAAAGGCCAACCAAAAGAAAATTACTTTTGCCAGCAAACAAATAACAGGGATTGGATTAGCTGGATCTAATGAGTTGGGTAGAGAGTTAACGGAATAACAGAATAACAGAATTGGAAGGGACTTGGAGGTCTTCTAGTCCAGAGGTCACCAACCTTTCTCGGTTGGCAAACCCAGAGGGAAAGGGAGGGGGAAGCATTTTTACATGCGGGTGCGTGTGCACGGGGCCGCGATGCAAAAAGGGCGGGGCTAGCACCCGCTTGACACTCACTAGCCCTGCCCCATTCTTGTGCAGCGCAATGCTCTGTTTCCACGCCCCGCGGCACAGTGGCACCTGTTTTTGCACCCCACAGTGCAGCAGCAGCCCGTTTTCGTGCCCCGAGGCGCAGCAGCATCCCGTTTTTGCACCTCACGGTGTGGTGGCATCCTGTTTTCATGGCCCAAGGCATGATGGTAGTCGGTTTTTGCACCCCGTGGCGCAGCGATGTTCCGTTTTCATGCTCTGCAGTGTGGTGGCATCCCGTTTTCCTGCCCTGAGGAATGGTGGTGTCCCATTTTCGCGCCCCAAAGTACGGTGGTGGTCCGTTCTCATGCCTCGAGGTGTGGCGGTGGCCCGTTTGCATGCCCCATGGTTGCAGCACTAGGGCGAGTGGGTGTGTGTGCGTGCACATGTACGCGCACTGGCCAGCCTGTCCCATGGTCCGGTAGCCAGTAGGCCATGGCCCACTATCGAGTCACGGCCCACAGGTTGGGGACCCCTGTTCTAGTTCAACCCCCTATTCAAGCAGGAAACCATATACCATTTCAGACAAATGGTTGTCCAATCTCTTTTTAAAAACCACCAGTGTGGAGCACCCACAACTTCAAGTCGCTCTCACTGTCAGGAAGTTTCTCCTTAGTTCTAGGTTGCTTCTCTCCTTGATTAGTTTCCATCCGTTGCTTCTTGTCCTGCCTTCAGACACTTTGGAGAATATCTTCCCTGAGATATTGGAAGACTACTATCATGTCACCCCTAAGTCCTTCTCTTCATTAAACTAGACATACCCAATTCCAGCAACCGTTCCTTATATGTTTTAGTTCCATAGCTTGGAACTATTCCCGAAGAAGGTCTTTGCTTGCATTCCCATTAAATATGCTTTGACAAAGGTATAACGGAGACTAAGCATCTACTGAAATTCTGCAAAAGACAGCCAGCCTGGTTCTTGTATATCACTTTCCTTTATATTCTCTGGGCGTGATCTGATCTTTTTTTTTAAATCTCTCTCTGCTTCAAGTCGAATTGGCCCCTGTTCCTGGCTTGTCAGATGCACAGATCCCAAGGAAATGACACCGTGCGCCATAGCTCCTGCCGTTTCAGGCCGCCTGCTCTCAAGGGAGGCACTCGGGTAAGAAATGGGAAATGAAGTCAAGCACAGAAGCAAAGGACAGCCATGAGAACAAAAATACGTGAAAGCAAAATGTGAAAAATAAAATGTTCCTGTGCAGGATGCCAATGTAAGCGAGGCTAGCTATGTGTCCTGCTTCTGCATAATTACTGTGCAGAGAAGAAAGAGAATTCATCATTCTCTTGTTTTCAAAGAAAACCTTTCTACTCTGCACATTTATAAATGTAATCACGATGTGATGCAACCTTAAAAACCAGCAGGAGAAAAGCGGAAAAGGGATTGAGAGACAGAGCACAAATTACAATTTTCATGTATTTATTAAATGTATATGCCATCCATCTCACTGTCCAAAGTGGAATATAAATTTAGTATATATATAAATAAGCAAGTTCCATTCCTCGTTTCTCCCAATAATTGGTGGAAACAGAATCAACACCATAACGAAAACAGGCAAATTCGTAACATTTCTGCAAGCTGGGCCCTTTGAGTTCCCACCAATAATATAGGGTGGTGAGGTTTTGGAGGCAGTGGGAACCAGCATCCCAAGATACAGGTAGTTCTTGAGTTTACAACCATTTAGTGACTGTTTGAAGTTACAACGGCACTGAAAAAAGTGAATTAGGACCATTTGTTACATCTATGACCCTTGCAGTATCTCCATGGTCACATGATCAAAATTCAGATACTTGGCAACTGACTCGGTTGCAATGTTCTGGGATCATGTGATCCCTTTTTGTAACCTGACAAGCAAAGTCAACGGAAAAACCAGATTCATTTAACACCTGTATTACTAACTTAACAACTGCAGTGATTTATTTAACAATTGTGGCAAAAGTAAAATGGGGGCAAAACTCACTTAACAACTGTCTGACTTAGCAACGGAAATTTTGGGCTCAATTGTGCTCATAAGTGGAGGGCTACCTGTATTTGGGGGGCTGCTGGAGTTAGGGGGGGGAAGCTGTTTTAGCTGAAGGAAGGGCTGACGAAAGAACGTGGGGTTTAACAGGAAGAGACGTTCTTATGGGCTCTGCCCTCTCTGATGTTCTCTCTTGAAGGCCTTCCTCTGGGTTTCCTTCCGCTCCTCCAAAGGCGATACCTGGCCTGACAAATTTGTTTACTTCACCATCCGTGCACAAAGGTAAGGAACCCCACAAAGTGTCTGCCTCTCTCTGCAGTTTTTGAATTGCTTTTCCTAACTGCCTTCTCCTTTTTGGTCTCTTCCAGTCAGAATGAGAGCAACATGCAGAACAATGAGGCTACCGGCCGGCTACCTGTTTTGTACCCCATCAACGTCATAGTGAAAGAGTAATTCTGTGCCCTTTTTTGTGATTTCCTACCCTGAGAGCCCATTTCCCAGGAATAATCTTCGTTTGTAGTGAAAAAGTTGAAGTAGGAGCTGGAAAACTGGGATTCTAGCCTATTCTCAGCCACAGAAGCTCCCTGGTTGACTTTTGCCTAGTTCAGGGGTAGGCAACCTTGGCTCTTTTATGACTCGTAGACTTCAACTTGAAGTTGAAGTCCACAAGTCATAAAAGAGCCAAGGTTGTCTAACCCTGGTCTAGTTTGTCCTTCCCAGCTTAAGAACCAGGGTGGTGCTGGGCTATCAGCAGGGACTTCATATTATAGACAACCTTAGTGTGGCTTTGGCCTAGTCATGCTCTCTCAGCTCAGCCTACTTTACAGGGCTGTTGTTGAAGGAAGAAGTAGGACTTCCCCTTTTACGATCCAAATGAAGGCCTCTCCTTTCCCCTCTAGGCTTCAGTCCACTGCATATCTCAACTTCTCTACTGAGGACCCAGGGAAGAAAATACTTACACATAGCTATGAGGTAATGGACTTGTGTTTTTTTTTTCTGTTGCTAACTAAATCCATATCTTTCTTATCCAAATTGATTCCATCCATCTGCTCTGGTCTTCTTAAGCAGACCTGCTGAAAGTCCAACCTGCTCATGAGGTTTGAGAGACTTGGATGAAAAAGGAGGCCTTCATTGTGGTAGCCCCATATTATAGTAGTAACTGTGAGAGGGACCTCGGAGTCCTAGTGGACAATCACTTAAATATGAGCCAGCCGTGTGCTGCAGCTGCCAAAAAGGCCAACACAGTGCTAGGCTGCATTAACAGAGGGATAGAATCAAGATCACGTGAAGTATTAATACCACTTTACAATGCCTTGGTAAGGCCACACTTGGAATAGTGCATCCAGTTTTGGTCACCACGATGTAAAAAAGATGTTGAGACTCTAGAAAGAGTACAGAGAAGAGCAACAAAGATGATTAGGGGACTGGAGGCTAANAACTAAGGAGAAACTTCCTGACAGTTAGAACAATTAACCAGTGGAACAACCTGCCTCCAGAAGTGGTGAATGCTCCAACACTGGAAGTTTTTAAGAAGAGACTGGACAGCCATTTGTCTGAAATGGTATAGGGTTTCCTTCCTGAGCAGGGGGTTGGACTAGATGACCTCCAAGGTCCCTTCCAACTTTATTATTATTACTATGGAATAGGCTTCAAACAAGCGATGCCCTCACATTGTAGAAGAGTGTTAAAACTTCCTAGTTTAGTGCATTTAGCTCCATTTGATTGTGGGCATCCATCTGTATAAGTCGAAGTAGTCCTTGACTTATGACAATTGGTTTAGCGACCACTGAAGTTACTACTGATCCAAAAAGGGAGAACTTAAGATCTGGATCCGAAGTTCTAATGGTCAACCACCTCCCAGGTCCTGTGACCTCAATTCAGGTGTTTAGCAATACAGCTGCATCAATGGTGGCTTGCCGTGTCCTGCGGTCACATGGCCACATTTTACAATGGTTTTGCCGAAAAGTGGCATTTTTTTTCTGGTTTTTGGCAAACCTGTGCCATAGCGAGCAATGGATTTGCTTAACGACTGTAGCAATCCCTTGATCATGGCATTCATTTTACAACCACTATGTTTGCTTAAGGACTGCTGAAAAAAAAAGGTTGAAAAATCAGGTAAATTATGTGACTGACCTCTTTTATGAACCATTATGAATTACAACCATAATACAGGAAATCCTCAACTTACGACCACAATTGAACCCAAAATTCATTTGTCAATTGAGTTTTGCCCCATTTTTACCACTTTTTTTGCCACAGTTCTTAAGTGAATCACTGCAGTTGTTAAATTAGTAACAGGGTTCTTAAGTGAATCTGGTTTCCCCATGGACTTTGCTTGTCAGAAGGTTGCAAAAGGGGATCATAGGGACATTACAACCGTCATAAATGTGAGTCAATTTTCCAGCATCCGAATTTAAATCACTTGACCATGGGGATGCTACAACGGTCATAAGTGTGAAAAATAGTCATAACTCACTTTTTTCAGTGTCGTCATAACTTTAAACAATCACTAAATGAACTGTTGTAAGTTGAGGACTATCTGTAGGCAGTTTCCATTATGGTCATAACTCGAGTATTACCTGAATCTATTTCCATATTTTTATATTGTTTTGTGATCTTATTTTCCACCATGTTTCTACTTTATTGTTCATCACCCAAAATTATGTGATTAGAGTGACTCACAAATAACATTTAAACAAAGGCATAAATAAATCTGCTTTTACTCAATCTGTCCACCATTCCAGCTATCCATCTTTCTTTGCATACATACCTACAATTAACAGTCTCTCTATGGGTCTTTATGAGAGAGGTCTCTCTCTATTTTTTTGGTAGACAGAGAATTTCTCTTTCTGTGGGAAAAAAGGTGATTGAAAAAAAAACTGGTGGGGGCGGGGGGAAATGAAGAGATCACCCAAGTGTATTGAAATCTACCGGGAGTAACAGAACAATCTGCTCACTTTGCTATTTTCAGTTGCAAATGGTTTGGTGCCAGCACTTGATAAGTTCATTCTGCCAACATCTGCTTCCATACCTGATTCCATGTCTTCCCAATTTATTCAATTTCCCTTTTTTTCTTCTGGCAGGTGAGGAATTTCGACTCAAACTCCACTGCAGTCAATGTGACTTTTGAGCTGCCTTTGATGACAAAACAGGGGTTCTTTTGGAATATAACACCATCCTACAGCAATGTGGTAAGAAGAAGATTGCTGGTTGAGTAGAGAACATCTGGATAATGTTTGTCAGGAGGAAGACTAGAAACCTGGAGGAAAGATTTAGTATTGGAAGGGTACAGATAGTCCTCAAATTTTGAAGGATCACTAAACAAATGGCTGCTAGGGACCGTTCAAAATTACAATGGCCCTGAAAAAAGTGAATTACGACCAGTCCTCACACTTACAACCGTTGCAGCTCCTCACAGCTAGGTGATTAAAATTCGCCCCCCTTGGCATTTGATAGTTACTTAGAGTGTTTGCAGTGTCCTGGGTCACATGATCACCATTTGCAACCTTCCCAGCTGGCTTCTGATGAGCAAAGTCAATAAGGGAAGCCGGATTTGCTGAATGGCTACGTGATTCACTTAACAACCGTGGCAGAAAACAGTGTAAAATCTTAAAAATCACCTTGCTTAGTGGTGGAAATTCTAGTTCCAACTGTGGTTGTAAGTCAAGGGCTATTGACAGGGAGATTCAAGTCCATGTGGACCAAACTTCAAATTTTCAAAAGCCCACGCTTGCAGAAATACTCTGGAGGGGTTTTGCAAATGGGTAGGAAGCCCAGTTGGGACAGAACAAGGGATTGTTTGTTGTGGGAGGGACAGAAGACAGGCCTGATTGAATCATAAACATTGGTAACTGTCACAGTCCTCGACTTACAGCAGTTCATTTAGTGACCATTCGAAGTTACAGCAGCACTGAAAAAAGTGACTTAGGACCAGTTTTCACACTTACGACTGTAGCAGGCATTCCCATGGTCAAGGGATCGAAATTCAGATGCTTGTCAACTGACTCATATTTATGACGGTCGCAGTGTCTCAGGGTGATGTGATCACCTCTGGCACCCTTCTGACAAGCAAAGTCAATGGGGAAGCCAGATTCACTTAACAACCGTGTTACCAACTTAACAACTGCAGTGATTCACTTAGCAACTGTGGCAAGAAAGTTTCTAACATGGGGGAAAACTCATTTAGCAAATGTCTCACTTAGCAACAGAAATGTTGGGCTCAGTTGTGGTTGCAAGTCACAAGTTTCTGTTGCTAAGTGAGACATTTGTTAAATGGGTTTTGCCCTGTTTTACAATCTTTCTTGTCACAGTTCTTAAGCGAATCACTGCAGTTGTTAAGTTGGTAACAGGGTTGTTAAGTGAATCTGGCTCCCCCATTGACTTTGCTTGTCAGAAGGTCGCAAAACCGGATCACATCACCCTGGGACACTGCAACCGTCATAAATATGAGCCAGTTGACAAGTGTCTGAATTTTGATCACTTGACCATGGGGGTGCTGCAACGGTCATAAGGACTACCTGTATCCAGAAAGAATTGTGATGAATGTCATAAGTTAGGGTTATTGTCAAAAAGATAATGGGCTTATATATACATTTTTGGAAATAACAAACTGTAGCACACATTTATTAGTTAAATCAGTTAAGGCAGAGTCTGTCTTTTGAACCCATTTTTCCCAGCATGCAAGAAAGAAGGGCTAATCATAGAGCTATTTATTGCTTTTCCAGATAAGATTGACCTTGAAATGTCCATTAACTTGTTCACATTAATGTTTTGGGATACTCCTGTTTCTTTCATAGCATCACTTGGTGCATTTTCTTGTAAGTTCCACTTGTGCAAAATTACTTTTCTTTTTTTTCCTAGAAAAATCACTTCTCCTGCACACCGTTGTTTACGCTCAGAACAGGAATCAACAGGAAGAATGTCACAAAACCCATCAAGGTAAAAATCTGGTACGGGTAGTCCTTGACGTACGACAACAATTCGCACCAGAATTTCCGTGGCAAAACAAGGTGTTTTTTTAAGCAAGTCAGGTCCAATTCTGCGACCCTTTTTGCCATGGTTGTTAAGTGAATTGCTGCAGTTGTTAAGTTGTTAAGTGAATCCAGCTTCCCTCATTGACTTGCTTGTTGGAAGCCAGCTGGTAAGGTTGCTAATGTCAACCAAATGAATCCAGGACATCTCAACCGTTATAAATACGTGTTGGTTGGTTGCCAGGCAGCCAAATTTTGATCACATGTCTGTAGGCATGCTGCGATTGTCATAAGTGGGAGGACTCATTGTAAGTCACCTTTTTCAGTGCTGCATTAACTTTGAACGGTTTCTAAACGAATGGTTGTAAGTCAAGGATTGCACCTTCCTTTGGGTTGATACCTTTTTATAAGAAGAAATTCCTCAACTGAAGCTGAGGGGTGTTTTTGTCTGAGATGGTGACAGCAAACAGCAACACCAATTCTCACGAATGAAGGCGAATATATACGTGTCCCAGGATAATGTCGCAGGATGCAATCTTGGTCAGTCACCAGAACTAGAGGTTCAATTTTCCGAGCATTCAGACTCGTGCTGGAGCCCAAACTCAGGGAACTTTTCTTTCACCAGAATGTGCGCTATGGGCTATTCTATGCATAGTATTTATGTGGTGGCTGGTTGTGTGTATGCAATTAACAAAGACATACAATCAATTTCACAGCTACTAAGATTGTTGGATGAGCAGGGACAAAAATAGCCAGGGAAATTATTGAAGCCTGGGAAATGGGTCCCTTGTCAGTCAACAGGAGTGCTGATTTACCACCAACTTATCAGGTCCTCAGGAGCCAAAGCGTCATACAACCAGGCACCACATAAATACTACGTGTAGAATAGCACAAAGCACACATTCTGATAGAAGTTCCCTGAGGCAGGCCTCCATCATGAGTCTCAAAGCTCAGAAGACTAAACCTCTGGTCCGGTGACTGACCCAGATTGGACCCTGCAATACAAATTCTCTTTTCTTATCTTCTTTTGACAGAGAGGCTGTCAGGGGGCTGTTGCTTGCCCCAAAGTTTACTGCTTTATCAACAGTCTTGCTGAGGGAGAATGGATCAGATTCAATTTTTCTGGAGATTTTTACAGAGAAGACAAATCTCTCAAAGTAAGTGGTACCTCTATCAGATAATAGGACTATTACATTATTCTGTTTGGAAGGTATATTTCTACTAAATACCTTGGGCAAAGAAAGCATTGTATAGAATTTCCTATTCATTGTTGATTCCTATAAGGGAAACGCTTATGACAGCTGCCTTAGATGTTTGATTTGAGATTCATGTGTGGAAAATAAGAAAAATGATTGGTGAGCTACGCAAAAGGGAATGAAGAAAGAAATTTAAAAATATAAAATCATAGGCTGGAAGGGACCTTGGAGGTCTTCTAGTCCAACCTGGTTATTACTGTAGATTGGTTATTAGGAAATAACGGAGGGGCGGGGAGGCTTCCAGGGAAAGATTGCTCAAACCTAAGCCAGACGCTCTAAACATGCTCAGGAGTGCCCCTGTCTCACCTCTAAGACCAAATTATATAGACCTCTTTCATTGATCTTTCACTGACCAAATTATATTGATCTCTTTCATTTGCTTATCACTTCTAAAGCTGAAGTACGAAATATTCCACGTTGGCAGCGAGGCGTCCATAAGAGTGGATGAGACCAGATTTTTCCTGAACGAACAAGAGGGTTTTCATTTCAGCCAGGTAATTCAGCCAGGATTGGTTGACTAAAGAGTTAGTGGTTGAGCGGTGGAAATGCAAGGAAGGAGTCATAGATTCAGAGGAATGGAAGGAGGTCTGTCCAATCTTTTCTTGAAGAGTGGTGCACTCCATGAAGCAAGCTGTTCCATTGATTAATTGTTCTTACTGTCAGGAAGTTTCTCCTTAGTTCCAGATTGCATCTCTCTTTGATGAGCTTCCACCCATTGCTTCTGCCTTGCCCTCAGGTTATTTGGAGAGCTCTTTTAGTTAGTCCATGCTGCAAATGAGTCATGGAATCTGATAGCATCTTCAAGACTAACCAACTTTCTTAGGGCAAAACCTTTCCTAAACATCAGATGCACAGAAAGGATTTGTTCTTATAGACTTGAAACACAGGGAACGCAAGAGAAGGGAGAGCAATGGGGAAGAACCAGGTGGGAAGCGAATGGATTTGGCTTCCCACCATCGTATCTGCTCTGTCGTGATGAGTGGATCTTTATCGAAAGGAAGTGAAATGCCTGCTAGTAAAAAAACGTGCATCTGCCATCTTTGTAATGTGGAAGTGAGCGTTGGGTTTGTCAGGAGAAATGCAATAATAAGCTGAACTTGGGAGAATGAAGAAAGAGAGTCAAGAATGAGTGGGAACTGAATGAAGGTGGACTGAATGCAACACAAGTGACTGGTACAAAAGTATGCTGAGATAGTTCTGTCCTGGAGAGAGAATGAATGGTGAATAGTATCGTTCAAACTCAATTCATCCATTTTTCATTTTCTTACCTCATATCTTTTATTTGCCTACCAACAGAAGAGACTATTTGTAGATCAGGGTTGAACTGTGAAGTCCTTGGCTATTTTTTTCTTGAATGTTTCATTACTGAACTAGGTAATATTAACATTGCTAGAAGAATCCAATTCCCTTCTAGCACTGATGACGTTACCTAGATGGGTAATACAATGTCTACAAGAAAACAACCAAGTTCAGAGAGCACCCAGCAATTCCTTTGCCTACAGTTCTTCCTCTTTTTTTTGGCACATTGCATAAAGATGCTTACGCCAAAGAGGAATAACAAAATGAGTGTTCAGCAAAGGCTAATTTCTCCGAGTCTCTTATGCTATCTTTTGGGCAGTTTTGCAGTTGACTCTAGCAAGCAGGCTTCTGGGTAATTTCAATTCCTAAAATTGAAACAAATTGTAGGAACAGATTTCAGCTTCCTATTGCTTTTCTTTTTCAGATCTTCACACAAATTGAGTTAATTTCGCCGTTCAATCCTGTCCCCATCATCATTGGCAGCACCATTGGAGGCATTGTGCTTTTAGCCATTATAGTGGCTGTCTTGTATAAGGTTTGTGCTGGTTGTTTCGGCTGTTTGATGTGGGTCTTGCTAGGATCAGGGCTTATGGGACCTTATTCCCATCTCTCCTTTAAATCAACCTCAGAACCTAGATCTGTTTCAGTGGAGGCTGTCCGTCTATCTCAGGGGTCTTCAAACTTGGCCCTTTTATGACTTGTGGACTTCAATTCCCAGAATTCCTCAGCCAGGCTGGCTGAGGAATTCTGGGAGTTGAAGTCTACAAGCCATGAAGGGCCACGTTTGAAGTTCCCTGCTCTATCTGATTGCAAAGTAGGGCAGCTAAGTTTTTAGCAGGAACTTCAGATAGAAATAAAGTGTAAACATAGGCTGTGTTCCCCATACACTGTAAGTTACCACAGTATTATTAACCTCTGAAATATTTTTTGGCAATCCACATACTACATCAGAAAATCTCAGCCTCCTGTAGCTCAAAATATGATCTGGCAGGAAGAATCAATAAAGTATTTAAGACCTGTCCCTTAGTGTCCGTTTGAAATATAACGGGCTCTCCAAAAGCTACTTATGCCCTGAATTTTGAAGTTCTGATGTCACCCCTTCCACAATCATGTGACTGCATTTTGGGTGCTCAGCAACTGGCCCACATTTACAGCCATTTGCCAGGCCCTGTGGTCATGTGATCACAATTTACGATGGCTTAAAACAAGCCCATAGTGAACAATGGGTTCACTTAACAACCACCACAAAAAGGTTGTAATATTGGATCCAGTCATAGGGTGACCTACTTTACGACTGTCACAACTTCCCCCCTTAATTGCCAGGCTCAATTATGGTTGTAAATTGAGGACTACCTGTACAGTCATATACATTAGCAGAGTGTTTCTCAACCTTGGCAAAGTTAAGATACATGGACTTCAATTCCCAGAATTCCCCAGCCAACTTAACTTCATCTGTCCTACACACTTTAATTCTTAAGTTATCTCTGATCTGCTAGATCAGTGGCTGGCTGGGGAATTCTGGGAGTTGAAGCCCACATATCTTAAAATTCCCAAAGTTGAAAAACTCTGCATTAGCACATTTAAATTGTATGCCCTGGATCTTTTCAGAACCAAGGAAATCTGTTGGATAAAATAGATGCAACAGATTTCTTGTTAGGTACTCTTTGCAGCTACTTTTGTATTTTAGAAAAGAGATTAGAAGATCCTGTTGTTATTGATCCTATTATTTTAGTACTGTGGAGAGATGCATTGCAATTTCTCCATCTTAAATCTGTTTTTCTCTCTCTTCCCTACCCCCCCTCGCCTCTATCATCTCTCCAGTTTGGATTCTTTAAACGCAAGCGTGTACCCCAAATGGATGCAAATGCAGCTGGAGCAGCTGCTCCCAGTGACCAAGCTCCTGCAACTTCAGCTGCTTCCTAAGGGAGGAAGGGATTCTGGATCTGGATGCAACTTGGAAGCCAGGATTCCCGCTTTGTCTGGAACAGGAATAATACAGCCAGTCGAACAGGATCGAAAAACGGAGAGGCAGGACCTCTAGAATAGATTACTCGGAAACGAATGGAAGGGATGGGGAGGGATTGAGAGACGAGAGGGCTAGAAGCTAAGTAGAATTAACTAATTTAAAATTCAAATAAATTTATATATTAAAAAACAAAAGTATGGTGCCAGTTTTTTTGCCTATGAAAATGGTTTGAACAAATTGATACCACTGGGAAAATGACCCACCAGAGAGTCATCCAGGAATGCTCCCACTCTGATGGGGAATACTTCTGCAGGAATTCAAAACATGCTGCTTATGGCATAGTAGCACTGCAGAAGAGCAGTCCAGCTGTCTCTTTCTTGGGTGCCTGCAAGTGCCTGACTCCAAGATAAGATTTTAGATTTCAGATCGTTAAATTCCTATGCACTGCCCATCCCTCTGGTTGACTTGATGGCAAAGAGAAGAATTTTGCCATAGTCATTTCTGAGTGACTGTCTCTTTTTTCTTTCTTATGAAATTGCTCTGTGTTCCCCATTTACAGTCCAACAGTGGCTACGCTTGCCTAATGTAGCATGTTTACACATACTGTACTAGCTTTGCACAACACAATAATTTAGCTGTGGTTTGCTATGTTGATTCAATTTCCAGGATTTATACAACTTAGTGTATCATAAACCAGGGCTTTTCAACCTTTTCACCCATTGTACCATTTTTAGGATATGGCAATATCCGAGTACCACCAGTCGCCTAGCAAGGTGTCAAAAACTTGATGACCCCCCCCCCAAAAAAAGGAAAAAACTGATGAAGTACAGGTAGTCCTCGACTTACAACAGTTCACTTAGTGACTGTTCGAAGTTACAATGGCACTGAAAAAAGTGCCCCCCAAGCCACAGCCGAGCAAGACGCCTGCCCGCCCGGCGGCGCTCTTCCTCCTGTTCGAGATTTTCATTGTTGTGAGCATTTCTGTTGAGGATTGGCAGTGGGGGTGGGGTGGGGGGTGTTTGGTTTTTATTCCCCCGGTCTGCTGGGTGGTTGCAGCAGGTTTTGGTCACTTCACATGACCCTGGGACACTGTGACCGTCATAAATATGAATCAGTTGCCAAGCATCTGAATGTAAATCACAAGACCATGGAGATGTTGCAACATTCCAGCTGATCAGCGATTCTTCTGGGCTCAGCAGAAGCGCCAGGATCAGCACCGAGCTCCAGCTGGAGCCTGGCGCTGATCCTGGTGCTTCTGCTGAGCCCTGACAGCCCTGCAGCTCCAGCCATCTCTCACTCAGGCTTGTGCGGTGCTGCCACCGGTTCAGTTCATCCCCCTCCCCGCTACCACTTTTCTAGGATGGTCACGTACCACCTGCCAGGTGCCAATGTACCACAGGTGGTCCCCATACCACTGGTTGAAAAGCCCTGTCAGAAACCACTCACACAGATGGGGTTTTCAGAGCCACTAGATCAGGGATAAGGTTGCCTACCCCTGCACTAGATAGTAGTGGCAGTTTGTGGTTCAATGTGTCATGTGGATGTAGTCAGGATACAGGTAGTGCTCACTTAATGAGCGGGTTGTTTTATAACTGTTTTGAGGTTATGACAGCCGCAGTACAGGTGCTTTATGGCCCTAAAGCACTCCTGGCCATTTAAATTGTCACACTGTTCCCCTCTCCACGGTCACATGACTACATATCGGATAGTCATCTTTATGACCGGTCATGGCATCCCATGGTCATGTGACTGTTTTGTGATGCTTTTTGCCAGTTTCCAGCAAAAACGCCCACTCAAGTGAATGGGTTCACTTAATGACTATGACATTCATTTAACAACTTTGGCGTTTGCTTAATAATCATGATAAAAGCCAGAAAGTTACTTCCAGTCACGTGGGTGCATCTATTTATGACTGCAATGATTTATGACCGTAATTCCAGCTTCAGTTGTGGTCGTTAGTCCAGGACTACCTGTAATCCACATAAGGACTGGGTGAGGCTTCATATTCCAAGGCAAGTGGGTGCTTTGGAGCACCTGCGTTTGTGAGGTAAATCTTCTGCACCTGCTCAATCCCCACCCGGGGCCTCTGTGCTTCCAAATATATCTCAAAAGGCCAGAACGTGGCATGTTGAGATCAGCAAAGGCTGACTTCTCCAGTTTAGCTGCTAGTCTCTCTACACACAATCTACAACCTACCCAGCTTGGCAAATCCTAACCAGACAAGAGCTGGAATTTGTTTTGAGAATTCAAAAGACCTTGGGTTTCAAACAGGCCAACCCACTTCTCTGCAGGGAGCCCTGGCTCTTTCCAAGTTTTTGTCTCTCTAGCCTGCCCAGGGCCCTGAAGTCAGCCACACTTCTGTATCTGGTAGCATCTAGAGAAGGCTGGTTTTTTAAAAGCAGAGTCCAGGCCTTGTTCTTCGCATAAGGGGACTTTCCTCTAAATGCTCTTCTCTCCATCTGGATTGAAATCAAAATAGCCCACACTTAATGGCTTTTTGCCTGATGGATAAGAGCAGCCTCCCTCCCTTTTTCCTTCCCCTGAGAGGCAGGGCTGAGGGGTTGAGAAAGAGATAATAGATAAGTGGCAAGAGTATTTAGAAACCTCTTGATCTTCTGTACCAATACATTTAAGAGCTGCTGTTTTGAAAATAAGGAAGTTAAAGTGAGTTTAACAGGACCTTCCCATAAGCTCACCGGGATATGATTCAATTTTCTGTTGACATCAAACCGCTACATTTAAGGTTTTCATAGAACGGTGTGGAAACCCATTTTTTTCCCCTTCTTGTGCACTAAATTAGGAAATCGTTCTTCAAGTACAGATTTTGAAAAATCCCTGGCCTTAATGAAACCCACTCCCTTGGTCCAAAGTTCTGATTTTGGAAATGCAAAGTCCCCCTCCCACTCTTCTCTAGCATCCCATGAGCCTTTGCAGGAAGGGAGGCCAAGCAAATGTCTTTCTCATTAGCTGGATGGGCAACAACTGTGGAAGGTATATTTTGCAAATTATATACGAGATGGTGTATCTTGATTTTTCAGTTCCTTTTTCATGGAGGGCAAAGTATGCAGAACAGATTGACCAGGCGTGGTTTAGAATCTCTTTAAAGTTGCATTTAATAATAACCTATTTAACTGACCCATTTTTATTATCCCATATTTAATTCAGAGGTTCAAGACACTACACATAGTCTTTGATTTATGATAACAATTTGGGACCAGAATTTTTGTTGCTAAGCAAAGAGGTTGTTAAGAGTTGTGTCTGGTTTTATGAATTTTTTTTTGCCCTGGATGTTAAGTGAACCACTGCAGTTATTAAGCAAATCACAAGGGCATGGAATATAATGTGGGATCCTGGTGATCTAACCCAGTATTTCTTAACCTTAGTTATTTAAAGATGTGTTGACTACAACTCTGAGAATGCTGGCTGGGGAATTTTGGGAATTGAAATGCACAAATCTTGAAGTGGCCAAGGCTGAGTAATAGTGGTAACTGGATATCTTTAGATGCACAAAAATTATTTCTACAGGATCGAAACCAAGGAGCCAAATTATGCCCATAACTCAGACACTGACTTCGCTACTTTCCAGTCTTAGTTTTGTCTTAGGAGATGAGACCAAACAACAATAGCAAGTCAGGATGGTTTTCTTCTGGGTTTTATTATTAAAATATGATGCACATTTCATTTCTTCCTGGCTAATCTGCTCTTCCCTCCCCTCATCTCCAAGCAGATTTTAAATCATATTAAATTAACTTCCTCTAAAATTCTTGGGCTCTTCTCTTAGAATCTAAGCAATGAACCTAAAATTTTTGAATCCTATACAGTCCCAAATGGTGTTCATCCCACAAAGTCAAATGTACACAGACCATAATTGCCAGTACACAATATGACAATGACAGCAGCCATGCGGATGAGTTACTTTCCGGAGATATCCCTCACCCCTGGTTTTCTCACATCCTTCTTATTTATATGCGGATGTATTCACAGGTTAGACTTACTTTTCCAAGGGGTTGGGTTCCCCCCCCCCCCCCGTCTCCTACCTCTAGTAACATCCTGAAAACAAATATGAGCTTAAACCCTTATCTGCTTTCCATTCAGAGAAAGCACAAAGGTAGGGTTGCCAGGTGTCCACTATTTGAGTGGACAGTCCACTTTTTTCACATTATGTTCACTATTTTTTTTCACAAAATAGTGGACATTTTTTTTATTCAAAAGCTTTATGATGAAATGGTACGTAATCTAAAGCTGTACAGTCTACTTTTTTTTACTACTTAAACCCCCCCCCCCGCTTGTCCGCTATTTTTTGGAAGCAGACCTGGCAACCCTACACAAAGGGTATCACGTAATTTATGGTTAATCTGAGCTTTTTGGTACACGACAGAATCAGAAAGATCAGCACCCCTGAGCACGCGCAGAAAGCATTTCTTTCGCCCCTGAGAAATGATATAATCATACATTCAGGATTAGGATCCAGGACTTCCATGTTAGTTTTAAGGCTAAGCACTTATTTTTCAGAAACTGAGCATGAGAGCAAAATCGCCAAGCCGGTATTGAATATTGAGAGCACCAAAAGAATAAAAGGAAAAGTATCCAGCACCTTTTGCTAGGGAATACCGTATTCCCCCCCCCCCCACTGTTTTGTCTCCTCTTCTCTTTATAATGTAAAGTGCATAGTTGTGTAGCTAATCTAGCAATCACCATATAATCCAAAGCAGAATTAAGATCCAAGCTGTGAAGGAGTTTTTGTTTTGTCCATTCGTCCCACAGAGGCATAGACCATCCTCCCCTCTCCGCCCAGTTTTTGGTCCTTTGGGGGAAACCGTGGTAGGATCTGAGCAAAACATCAGGTCACGGGGAATGGAGCGTGGATGGGTTGAATCGGCCTCTACACTGCCACCTTTAAAGCGCCAGTAGTGAGTATCCTTGAAGAAGTATATATGGCCTGCAAGGGAAAGAAGAATGAATGGATGGATGAATGAATGAATGAATGAAAGAATATGACATTTCTTTTGTCCCTGAATTTGGAAGAACCCATCTGAAGTGAACAATGCCTGAGATTACTATGGTAAGTGGCTCCATTACTTCACTGTGGAAATAAATGCATCCAGATTTTACTGTGTTAAAAGTACCTTGGCTATTTTTGAGACCACTTTTTCCCCACCTCTTTTAACTTGTACTAGATGCATATTTTAGTAGAAAGAGAGGAAGACTTTTTCAGCTTGGAAGATGATTTAAAGAAAATTGAATGAATTTTAAGGGGCTGAAAAGATAAACAATCCTAGGGGAGTTTGGTAATATACTTTAAAATATGTATATGTCTGTGACATAAATTACTTAAATAAAATGGGAATGGGAAGGATATCAGAATACAGAACAATTCCTCACATCATTGGCATTTTTAAGGCAAGTGATGGACAGAAAAAAATGCCTGTAGGGCAGGGGTCTCCAACCTTGGCAATGTTAAGACTTGTGGACTTCAACTCCCAGAATTCCCCAGCCAGCACATGTTAGCTGGGGAATTCTGGAAGTTGAAGTCCACAAGTCTTAACATTGCCAAGGTTGGAGAACCCTGCTATAGGGCCCAGCAGTCTCACTTCTGAACATCCTTTGATGTTTAACAATAAACTTGCTATATTGCTTAAATGCTAGGAATTCTCAGATGTAGAATTTTGTTCATTTGACTTAGAGGTTGTTTTCTATTTTACTATCGCTTTTCTATTCTGCTAAAGTTGGTTAACTGGATGTATATTTAAATATGGCCTGCTTTTTTTCTGTGAATTTATTTTCAAAGATGAGCCTCAGTATCTGCAAGTTATTCTCGGCACTGCTGGGAGAATGGTTAAGTCAAAGACTCAATACAGGCAGTCCTCGACTTATGACTGCAACTGAGCTCAACATTTCCTTTGCTAATCAAGACAGTTGTTAAGTGAATTTTGCCCCATTTTACGACCTTTCTTGCCACAGTTGTTAAGTGAATCACTGCAGTTGTTAAGTTAGTTACAGTTAAGTTGTTAAGTGAATCTGGTTGTCAGAAGGTCACAACGGGGATCACGTGACTCCAGGACACTGCAACCATCATAAATATGAGTCAGTTGCCAAGCGTCTGAATTTTGATCACATGACCCTGGGGACGCTGCAACGGCCGTATGTGTAAAAAATAGTCACAAGTCACTTTTTTCAGTGGTGCTGTACCTTCAAACGGTCACTAAACGAATGGTTGTAAGTTGAGGACCACCTCGGTACCAAAATCTGCATAGTTCAGTGCTTTGATATGTGGGAGCTGCACTGCGCATTTCTGCAATTGGGTGTCACTAATAATTATTGGGGGGGGGGAACTAAAGTCTGGAACAGACTTGTTGGAGACTCCTTACAGCAGCAGTCCCTAACCTTTCCACCTTGGTGTACCAGCCTGGTGCGGGGTAGGGGGGCGTGTGAGTGGCAGGTGCATGTGCGCACGCAGAGCTCCAATGGTGCGAGTGGCGGGCGCACAAACCCTCCACTCAAGCAAATGGAGCCTCGCATATGAGTGGTGGGTGCTTGCACAAAGCTCCACTCACTCTCAAGTGGAGGGTGCTTGTGTTCGCGCGCAAAGCCTCACTCGCATGAGCGAAGAATGCTCGCATGTGGAACTTCGCATGCAAGCACAAGCACCCTCTGCTCACCAAGAGGAGCCCATCGCTAGCTTGGCTCGTGTTCAAACAGGCCACGGCCCGGTAGTGGGCCACAGTCCTACAGTATTGTATGCCTTAGTTTGGTGTTTTTCACCCTCAGCAACTTTAACTTGCTGGCTGGGGAATTCTGGGAGTTGAAGTCCACACATCTTAAAGTTGCTGCATTTGAGAAAGGAGAACATACCATCATTCCAGTGGGTGATGTCATCCAGCTCAGAAGGGACTCCTTTCCAGAGGCTGACCGGTTTGGGATATCCCGGTTCCACGTGGCCCAGCTGATCATCATAGCGCCAGTAGCGGTTCTTCTCTAAGAGATACGTCTTACCATTGTGAGGCCAAACAAACACAGCCCCAACTACGGTGCCAGGAGGGAGTCCCAGATCGGATGTGGGGCGGGGATAACCATGATTGACTCGAGTGTCAGAAAAAACCCAGTAGTAGGGTCCTGCAAAGAGGAGGAAACAAGAAATTAATTCTGTAGAAGAGAGGCAAATTCAATTCCATAAATAATTTCTGTTGGGGCCATATGCATTTGATCCATATTTTCCAGATATGAATCAGATATTTTCAAAATCTAATACCTAGCCCCCAAATATCTATCTGTCTATCTGTCTGTCTGTCTGTCTGTCTGTCTTCATCATCATCTTTTAATCTATCATCTATCTATCTATCTTCATCTTCATCATCTATCTATCATCTATCATCTATCAATCATCTATAATCTAACTATCATCATCTCCCTGGAAAATCAGAGATATTGATATAAATACAAAAAGCAAGCTAGTTAGAACAATAGTCTTTTCTATAATGATGTATGGGAGTGAGAGTTGGACATTAAGAATGGCTGATCAAAGATGAATTGATGCCTTTGAACTGTAGTGCTGGTGTAAATTACTGTGTAAACCATGGACAGCAGAGCAACCAACACAAAGGTGCTGAATCATATAAAACCAGACACATTAGGAACCAAGCTCACAAGACTACATCTGATTTACTTTGTTCACGTCATGCAAACAAAGTCATTGGAGAAGCCAATGATGCTAGGAATGGTTAATGGAACAAGAACAAGAGGCAAGCAAAGAGCTTGCTGGCTTGGTACCATTGTAACCGATACAAAGATGAATGTCCAACAACTGAAAGAAGCTGTGCTTGACAGGGTAGCATGGAGAGCATTTGCCTAGAAAGCACTCGCCAAAAGTCGGACACAACTGGTTAAAACAACAACATATGTATCTCCCATATATCAAATATCTATCTAACTTCCAAATTTCATAAGCTGCCCAGAGGCACTACTGTATCTGTGAGTTGGCCAGGTATATAAATTTGTTTAGTAAATATATATATATATATATATATATATATATATATATATATATATATATATATATATATATATATATATATATATATATATATATATATATATAATCTATGTTGGCTAATTAATAGGCACGGTGAATTAATGTGTTTGTCAAAGCTGATTCGGCTTCATCGTTGCCTGCACCTGATTTCAGTTCACAGTTTGCCAAACAGAAATGGGAGGGTTTTTTTTTTGTGTAAATTCTTAGGGAATGGGGAGGGCTAAGGAATGCACAAGAGCCTTCTGTTGCCTGTGCAACGTTATCCCCCAAGTCAAGTTCCGAGAACTTTTCAAATGGTGCAGACTGTTTTCCCAAAACAAAAATACTGCATTCAATTGGTGGACAAGGAATTGTGGGTGGCCCAGGGATGAAAAGGTTTTTTTTTACCTATGTTGGTTTTCACGGGAAAACCTCAGAATTGACTTTGCTTCTGCTGTACCTAGATGGATCTTTCAATAAAGTTTTACTCTTGGTGTCTATGGAGATTCTCAGTCATCCAGGTCATAGTTATCCCAAAGGTGCTTTTTTCACGAGGCAACTGGACTTTCTAGTTTTTCTTTGAAGAGGTTTTGCTTCTCATCCAAGAAGCTTCTTCAGCTCTGACTGGATGGTGGGGAATGGAAGGATTTATACTCCTTTCAGACAGCTGATTGTTTGCATTCTTTTAGAGAGACGTTGAAGCCACCTGGAGGTTTATCTATGTCGTCAGGCCATCTATGTCCAAATTGAACAGCCCTCTCTCAGCAGAGGGGGAGGGATATGACATCATCTATCTCCAGTCTACAACACAGTCCTTTCAGCAGTTCCAAGAAGGCTCCATGCCCATTTGCACTACTCAAGTGACCCTGACGACACAGATAAACCTCCAGGTGGCCTCAACGACTCTCTAAAAGAATGCAAACGACCAACTGTCTGCAAAGAGTATAAATCTTTCCATTCCCCACCATCCAGCCAGAGCTAAAGAAACTTTTTGGATGAGAAGCAAAACGTCTTCAAAGAAAAAAAAAAACAAGAAAGTCCAGTTGCCTCGTGAAAAAACACCTTGGAGATTTTACTCTTTGTAAACTCTTTGGACCAGGAGTTCCTAATTTTTTTGAATATGCCAAACAGGACAGCTGACAGTATTATGCTTCTACTTGTTTAGAAGTGAACTTGTTTCTTGCTCCCTCTCTCCTTCTGAGTTAGCCAGAAAGCTACACAGAAGCCTGTTCCTCAAGAATTCTGATTTATGGTGTGATCCACACTGGATTTTTGCAACCTCTCGTGATGGTCTAGGATGGTCTAGGTAAACAACCTTGGCTCTTTTATGACTCGTGGACTTCAACTCCCAGAATTCCTGAGCCAGCCATGCTGAGGGGAAAGGGAGAGGATTCCAAGCTGAGCCATACTGGCTCAGGAATTCTGGGAGTTGAAGTCCACGAGTCATAAAAGAGCCAAGGTTGCCTACCCCTGGTCTAGGAGGTGCTCATTTTTAGGTGTGTAATGTGCTGTTTGATTTATATCAAAGAAGCTGCTTCTTCAAACTTCGGACCTAGGTGGTGCGTGTATGTGCAGTGCACATCTAGCTACTCCAAAGCTACACTCTCCTAGAGGAGTCATCTCTCCAGAGCTGTAGGGGAAGGTGGGGGAATGAAATCGGCAGTCCCAGGAGGGAGGGGCTGCTTTCAAAGAGACAGGAGCTTGGAATGTCTGGTAGGCAGGAAGAGGGCAAAGACAGACCCTCCCTAGCAGTTCACAGAATATGTATTTATGCAAATAGTTGTTTTAGTCTGGCAAGATTCTAATAAAGAAACTCTCAACAGAAGAGAATATTTATACTTCAGGGTTGAATTATGGGGCTCTTTGGTGCTTTCTGAGCTTGGTTGTTTTCTTGCAGACGTTTCATTACCAAACTATATATCATCATCAGTTTTAGCCACTTGTATATAAACAAAGCACTGATGATGTTACCTACTTGGGTAACAAAACATCTGCAAGAAAACAACCAAGCTCAAAGAGCATGAAGGATCCCACAGTAAAGAAACTATTCAGAAGTAAGTCCATGTGTCGTTCTTGGTTTGTTGGACCTGACAGTGAATGATTTACACATTCCTGGATTCTGACTTGCAGATTAATTGAAAGACCTCGGCCTTTAAGATTTTCCTCTAAAATCTTGATTTTAAGCTGATTTTTCCTATTTTAAAAGGAGGCTAAAAGTATAGACTCTCCTTCTGAATAAATCTGCCACCTTGCCACACTCACCAATTGCCCCCCCCCCCATTGCCACCTTGCCACACTCACCAATAAAGAACACAATCTGGCTGTCGTTGGCACGTTCGTACGCAGCATCAATTATCTTAAAATCTGGGGGGAGTCCGTTCCAGAAGCGAAGAGTCTGGGCTGGCTCCATAGAAACCAGATTCTGGGATGGCTGAATCCTCCAAAAATGTCTCGCTGCAAAAAATTATGTGGCCACATTCATAGAAACCAAAGTGGATGGGGGCAGCTGCCCGTTCCCGTTTAAACCTCCCAATATCTCAAAATAATAATAAAAAAGATTGCATTGCCAAAAGTCAGCAGCAGTTCATTAGAATTGCTGTGTTACCGATGGAGAGAAAGTAAGCAACACAAGTAAATTATGTAATTGTTTGCTGCAGTTTCCTGTCGCAGCAATCACTGTATTCCAATTCCAAAAGTCCACACAACCAGTTACTATGGGTTTTCCCATTTTACAGATAGTCCTTGCTTTATGACCGATCACTTAGCAACCGCTGAAGTTACGACCAACTCAAAAAACGGGGACTTACAACCTGGATTCAAAATTCCAACAGTTGGGCCCCACCGTGGTCATGTGATCAAACTTTGGCTGCTCAATAACACAGCTATATTAACAGCCATCTGCAGCATCCTGTAGTCACATGACTCTGTTTTATGACAGTTTTGCCAACAATCGGCATTTACTTCTAGTTTTTGACAAAACCACACCCATAGCAAAGAGTTCAAAATTCAAGAACCGGCATGTATTTGTGATGGTTGCAGCGTCCCAGAGTCACATGATTGTGATGGTTGCAGCGTCCCAGGGTCACGTGATTGCAACTTTCCCAGCTGGCTTCTGACAAGCAAAGCCAATGGGTGAAGCTGGATTCAATTAATGACTATGTGGTCCACTTAACAACCATGGCCAAAAGAGTCATAAAACTGAGGGGGATTCACTTAACAACTGCCTTGCTTACCAGCAAAAGTTCTGGTCTGGTCGTAAGTCAAGGACTATTTTTACGCAGCCCTGTTTGACTTACCTTTAAAGAAGAAAACTTCACCACGAATGTTAGCAATAGCATCAAACCCGGTTTTGCAACGTTCAGATGCTGGCAAGGAAGGCCTGGAAAGGAGAGAGAATTAATATAAGGACCAATTAATTCATTGGGGTTAGGTTGAGACCACCAGGATAAAATATGGCCAGTGATTTTAAAACCAAACTTGGCTTTCCTCATTAACACTGGATGTTTCTAAACTGATCCAAACAAACAAGATGACAAAGCTATTCTGTTCCCCTTGTTAATGGATTTCTTTATGGTAGGAAGAAGAAAAAAAAATAGGGGAAAGTGGGAAGACAAGGGGGAGTTACCAATGGAAATCAACAATGCTGCCTTCCATGCTAAATTCCATGCATGAAGCCTGAGGGCGCACAATAAAAGCCTTGTCTGGAATTCCCCTGAGCCTCACTTCCTCCTCCTCCTCCTCTGCATCCCATAATAGATATGCATATCAATCTTCCTCTCCCTGGGCTTTGCATGAGATCATTATAGTTACCCCTCCTGTTCTTGGTTTTTAGTTTTAGTTTTTTGATTCCTACTGGTGCATTTCACAAATCCCAATTGCACCAGCAGGAAAAAATCAGCAGTCTGTTCCCTGCTGAACCTCACACACCCCACACAACACATACACACTCATAAGCAGCCAAGGTGCACTCATGACCTCTGCGCTGCTGACCTAAGATAGAAGACGATTCTTAGGGTATGTGAAAGTAGCAAAAAAAAGTCCCCAAGGATAGAGGAACGAAATTTAAGAAAATTTAAGAATTTTTTTTTATTTTTATTTTTAAAAACAACTAGCACTGTGATGGCAAAACTTTTAGAGACCGAGTGCCCAAACTGCAACCCAAAACCCACTTATGTATTGTCGGGTGCCGGGGGGGGGGAGTGGCCCATTGGGTGGGCATGACTCATTGGGTTGGTGTGACCCATTGAGTGGGCGTGACTTTGGGGATAACGGCAGACTGGGTGGGACTAAAAAGCTCAATCAATCAATTCCAACTTTGCGAGATCTTTTTTTTCCTGAAAGAAGTTGAAATGGATTGATTGATTGAACCTTTTTTTTTTGCACACGGCGACAAAGGCCTAAAGTGAAAAGGTTTTATAAAAGTCAGCTGGGGCGATGGTGCGCGTCCCCACAGAGAGGGCTCCGAGTGCCGGCTCTGGCACCCGTGCCATAGGTTCGCCACCACGGAACTAGCACAAGAGTTTTTTATCTTTGGGTAGCTACTTAAATACCACAATACCAGCTGCTAAATGCCTTCGGAATGGGACAACTCCGGCTGCCAATTCGCCACGGCCAACTCACTTTGCCCAGCTCGCCACGGGACAATCCGCCACGGGACAATTCGCAGCGGGAAAACTCACCGCAGGCCAGTTCAACAATTTTATTTCATTATTTAAAATAATTTTAATAGTTATTAAATGATTTTAATGTTTGCCTTTGCCATTTCATTTTGTCCCTCCTTTTGCGTGCTTTCTTTAATGATGCTATTTCACCATTTCTTTGATATTAGATAACTTTTGTTCCACAGTAAGTTGGCCGTGGCGAATTATCCCATGGCGAGTTGGGTGTGGTGAGTTGGCCGTGCTGAATTAGCCGTGGTGAATTGGCCGTGGCAAATTGTCCTAGACCAGTGGTTCTCAACCTGTGGGTCGGGACCCCATTTGGGGTCGATCGACCATTTCATGGGGGTCGCCAAGCAAGGCTGTCCGCCATTTTTTTTGTCCGCCATTTTTTTGTCTGCCATTTTTTTCCCCTTTTCCGGCGGGTGCCTTACATCCCTTGGGCTGGGCCAACTGGTGGTCGGCCTGCTCCATCTCTGCCGCTTGCCAGCTACGCCTCGGCCGGCGCAGGGGGCGGAACCACGCATGCGCGGCGCTCCCGGGCAGGGAAAGTCCTCGACTTACGACCGGTTGGGTAGTCCTCGACTTACGACCGGTTTAGTCCTCGACTTATGACCGGTTTAGTCCTCGACTAACGACCGGTTTAGTCCTCGACTTACAACCGGTTGGGGTCGCGGCATTAAAAAGGTTGAGAACCACTGTCCTAGACCCAAATGCCTTAACTACTCATGTTGTCTAGTAGGTTGCTCATTGGCTGTGGTTCTAGATATCAAAAATATAGATCCTTCATTTTCTACTCATCAAAAAGACACACTCCTGTTCATTAAGGGTTTTTTTTCTTTTCTTTTCCTGGGTTCCTGGCCATTCCCAGTTGGTTCTTCTAGGCCAGGGCTTTCAACCTTTTCACAGATTGTACCGCTTTTAGGACATGACAATATTCGAGTTTCACCAGTGCTTAGCAAGGTGTGATGACCCCCCCCCCCCAAAAAAAGGAAAAAAGTACCGATTTTGATTTCTTCAGTGGCAGTTCCTTTGCTGAATCACTTTTCCTTTACACTGACGAATGTATAATAAATTTATCCATATTTATTAATACGCACCACTTCCTTGGTGGTCAGGTGGCTGGTCGGCCCTTTTTTCTCTCTCCCTCTCCTCTCTCTCTCTTTCACAACCTTTACTCCCTCGTTGATCCCTCTGTTTGTCTCACAGAAGCCTCTCCTCTTCTCCCTCTTCTTTCTCTGTCACCTTCTCTTTCCCCATCATATTTTTTCCCCTCTCCCTCACCCGCCAAAACCTCCTCTCCTCTCTCCCCCCTCCTCCTCCTTTTCTCTTCCCGGTGCACAACTCTCTGGGGCTCAGGGAGAGCTCTAGCATCAGTCGCTACCCCAGTCTCACTCCCCCATGCAGTCACCCACTCTCTGGCTGCATGCGCCGATCCTGGGGCCTCTGCCGAGCCCAGGCAGCCCTGCAACTCCAGCTGACTCTCTCACCCCAAGGCCTATCTGCTGCTCCTGGTGATAGCAGAGGCTGCCGGAAGCACTGATCAGCTGGAACTGCACGCACCAATCCAGGGCCCTCAGCAGAGCCTCAACAACACCGCAGCTCCAGCTGACTCTCCGCCCAAAGACTGCGTGTGGCTGCCAGCCATCCCCAAAGCCGCTGGAAGCACCGATCAGCTAGAGCCACGTGAGACGATCCTGGGCCCTTAGCAGGCCTGTGCGGCACTGCCGCCACTTCAGCTCATGCCCCCGCTACACTTGTTTAGGTCGCGTACCATCTGCCAGGTGCCAAAGTACCACCAATGGTATGCACACCACCGGTCGAAAAGCCCTGTTCTAGGCTGCTATTTCAGTTGGCATTAGTGTGGTCCTTTGAATCTAAACCTAGGTTGCGCTCTTCGTCTGCTGCCATTGTGGTAGCCGGTGGCCGCGTTGTATGATATCGTCCCATAAGACTTTCAAGATCAAGCGGTTCCTCACTAAGAAGCAGAAGCAGAACTGTCCCATTCCACAGTGGATTCGCATGAAAACTGGCAATAAGATCAGGTACAATTCCAAGAGGCAGCATTGGAGAAGGACCAAGCTGGGCCTGTAAAGAGAAGCAACTGCAACCTTCACCCTGTCTGTCTGTCTGTCAGCTGGCTTTTGTGCCCCAGGATTAAGGGAGTTGCACCTGATTTTACAACCTTTTATGTCACTGCAGTTGTTTAGTGACTCATGCAGTCATTCAGAAATCTGGCTTCCTCCATTGACTTTGCTTATCAGAAGCCAGCTGGGAAGGATGCAAATGGCCATCACAAGACCCCAGGACCAGTGGTAGGATTCAAATATGTGAACAACCAGTTCTCTGTGTGGATACTGTTTCCAGAAGTCCATTCTGGGCCTGGGCAACAAAAAATTAGCTACCGGTTCTGCCGAGGTGGTGCAAACTGGCTGAATCCCACCACTGCCCAGAATACTGCAACTGTTGTAAATATCTGCTGGTTGCCAAGCACCCAAATTTTGATCACGTGACCATGGGAGCACTGCAATGGTTATAAGTAGAAGGACCAATTATAAGTCACTTTCTTCAGTGCTGTTGCAACTTTGAACGGTCACTAAATGGTTGTAAGTTGAGGACCACCTGCATTGAATTGTGCTCTGATTTGGCTCACTGGCTGTCATTCTATGGAAAGGACTCTTGTTGCATCACAGTTACAAGAGCCAATGAGGAAAGGGAGAATTAGTAGGCTCAACCAATCAGAAAAGAGGCTCACTTTTCTTTCGGCTTGTCTGGTGGTAGGTCTGGGATCGGGGGTGCTGTGGGAACCGGTGGCACCGGAATGTCTTGATCTGGATATGAACTATGATGCCGCCTACCTACAAACAGGAGAGAAATAATGAGGTGGCCACAGATCAAATGGACCAACAGACGGTATGAGATATTTCCTGACATGAGAAAGGAGAAGGAATGTTCTGTTGCTAAGTGAAAGTGAGTTTTGTCCCATTTTACGACTTTTCTTGCCACAGTTGTTAAGTGAATCACTGCAGTTGGTACATTAGTAACACGGTTGTTAAGCGAATCCTGGCTTCCCCATTGACTTTGCTGGTCAGAAGGTCGTAAAAGAGGATCACGTAATCCCGGGACACTGCAACTGTCATAAATATGAGGCAGTCGCCAAGCGTCTGAATTTTGATCACATGACCACGGGGGTGCTACAGTGGACATAAGAGTGGAAAACGGTCATAAATCACCTTTTTCAGTGACATTGTAACTTTGAACGGTCACTAAATGAACTGTTGTAAGTCAAGGACTACTTCTATATATCAAAAGATGAAAGAAAAGAACAACTTCCTCAAATTCACTCTTAGTAGCTTGTTGTGTACAACATCCATGCTCCCTAATCATCGTGGTCATTGCAAAGCACGAGAGGAAAGCAATACAGAAACGGTGGTTGGTACAAGTAAAATGTCTCAGGAAGGAGAAGAAATACGAGTCAAGGTGGAAAGAAAGAGGGTAGCATTAAAGAATTGTGTTTTTGTAAACTTGTTTTGTACAACATCCATGATTCCTAACCATCATAGTTATTGCAGAGCACAAGAGAAAGCAATAGAGAAACAGTGATTGGTACATGTAAAATGCTCCAGAAGGAGGAGAAGTATCAATCAAGGCAGAAAGAAAGAGGATGGCATTAAAGAATTGTGTTTTTGGTAAGACCAAAGCCTCTCACCATAGATTTGTTGAATTCCCATGGCGTCATCTGTGGAAAGTTGATAGAGGTGGGGCAAACCGACAGGACCTTGGTAATATGGCATCATGATGGACTCCTTAACAGAAGAGTGAGTCAGTCCCAAGGCATGGCCAAACTCATGCACTGCTACAGCAAATAGATCTGTGCCGCGGCCTGAAATCAGGAGAAAAAGGACATTTTAGTCAAGATTTGAGGTTCTTTGGACAATATTTTTATCAGATACTGAAGTCCCGTAGTGTGGTGTGTCGTAATTCTGAAGATACCTGGTGATTCATTCTGTGGGTCATAAATCCAGATCTCTTCATTATCAAAATGGGTATTGCCTGAAATGGGATATTCTCCAGGGAAGAAGGCATGGGCCAGGGTGCCTCCAGGCCCATCAAAGGGGTATGGGTCGTCATGATAAGAGGCCGTAAAATCCACCACAATGTCCGCTTGCTGAGAAGACACTTCTTTGAAGGTCAAGGTTGAAGAATTGCTCCAAGCTCGAAAAGCGTAGAAAATGAGATTCCGGACATGATCGTGGGTTAGTTGCGAGGAATGAGGGAAGGAACGGATGCTGGTGTGGGAAACAAAGAACAGAAAGAAAGAATAAGGCAGCGGCTCCCAACATTTCTATACCCTGCACCGCTAGAACGCTTCTGATATATTCTCGCACCCCTTACAAAAGTTCGAAATAATGGCAACGAATTATACATATACACTATAATTTTTAAAACCCAAGTTTTTGCACCCCCTGGAATATTGTCTCACACCCCCAAGGGGTGCGAGCACCCCTGGTTGAGAACCCCCTGGAATAAGGTAAGGCCAGATGAGTCTCGATGGATGAGAGTATAACAAAGTCCTGTGTGGTTCACTATCCCGTTTTGCAAGATGTCCAACCAAAGACTTACTGGAAGCCCACAAACAGGATGTGTAGGCAATATCCTCTTACAGGACACTTTTGTTCCCAGCTTGTGGTATTCAGTGTCACAAGAAAAAAAGAATAATGAAAATTAATTACAGATGGCAAAGTGAATAAAGGTGCAGGAACAAGAGAGACACAAGGAAAGAATGAAACAAGAAGCAGTAAGTTGTAGTAGCTTTTTTCCAAATGGGTGCAACGGCTCTGATAGAGTATAGGTAGTTCTCAACTTATAGACATTCATCTAGTGACTATTTGAAGTTACAATGGCATGGAAAAAAGTGACTTATGACCATTTAACACTTATGACCATTGCAGCATTCTTGTGGTCACGTGATCAGAATTTGGACTCTTGGCATTTGGCTCATATTTATGACGGTTGCAATGTCCTGGGTCACTTTTTTGCAACCTTCCAACAAGCAAAGTCCATGGGGAAACCAGATTCACTTAATAACCATGTTACTTAACAACTGCAGTGATCCACTTAGCAATGGTGACTAGAAGGGTCGTAAAATGGAGCAAAACTCACTTATCTTGCTCAGCAGTGGAAATTTTGGGCTCAGTTGTGCTCGTAAGTCAGAGGTCTTCAAGCTTGGCAACTTTAAGACTTGTGGAATTCAACTCCCAGAATTCCTCAGCCAGCTGGGTGAGGAATTCTGGGAGTTGAAGTCCACAAGTCTTAAAGCTGCCAAGTTTCAAGACCCTTGCCGTAAGTCAAGGACTACCTGTAACTCCATCAGCTGCCCAGTCAGTAAGTTATGTAATGAGAAGTAGATAACAAAAGTCAATAGAGAAGAAATTAACAAGAGAGTATTCAGGTAGTCCTCAACTTATGTTCAGTCGCTTGGCAACCGTTCGAAGTTATGGTGGCCCCCCTCAAAAGGTATTTGCAAAGTTCCAATGGCTGCTGCTTTCCATGGTCACATGACTGCATTTTGGGTGCTTGGCAACCAGTCTGCATCTACAGCCATTTGCAATGTCCTGTGGCCACATGATCACTATTTACAACACTTTTGCCCCAAAATGGCTTTTATTTCTGTTTTTCAGCCAAACACCCCATAGCAAACAATGAGTTTGCTTAAAAACCACGTTGTTCACTTAATGAGCATGGATTCGCTTAATGACCACTGCAAAACAGCTCGTAAAATTGGGTTGGTCACATGATTGATCTGCTTTATGCCCGTCACTACTTACAAAGTAGTGGGCAGACTCCATTTCGGTCGTAAGTCGAGCACGACCTGCACACTGAAAGTATAAATCTTCAATTTAGGGGAGATGCTGAATTATGATTCTTATGAGAACTGGAAGTCAGAACACAAATCACAGGAAGACAAAAACCACAGCAAAGAAGACGTGGTTAGCTTAACTCTGCATTCCCAGGACTCCTCCTTCAAAAGAAAGGGGATTATTAGACTTACTGCCATGTCAAGTCGGTCTTTTTCCAGGCGGTTTCACTGAGAGCGTAACGTTTCTTCCTACGTCGCATCAACTCCGCGGTGCCAATGAAATCAGGGAGAGAGCAGCGAGGCCTGTCCATCATTTTCAAAGTCTCACGATCTGCAAAAGAGAGAGGAATTTCCATGTTTTGATTTTAATTCAAGGTCCCTTTCTCTGCTCCCATCTGAAATTACAATTTGCCCTCGACTTACGACCAGAATTAAGCCCATTTCTGTTGCTATGCAAGACAGTTGTTAAGTGAATTTTACCCCACTTTACGACCCTTCTTGCCACAGTTGTTAAGTGAATCACTGCAGTTGTTAAGTTAGTAACACGGTTGTTAAGTGAATCTGGCTTCTCCATTGACTTTACTTGTCAGAAGGTCGCAAAAAGGGATCACATGACCCGGGGATACTTTAATTGTCAAAAATACAAGCCAGTTGCCAAGTGCCCAGATTTTGATCACGTGACCTTAGGGATGCTGCAACCTCAAAAATTACTTTTTTTCTGCGCTGGTATAATGTTGAATAGTCACTAAATCATTATCTTGGAGTAAGATGGGTGCCCTATAAGTTTTATAAAAAACTAACTAAATAAATAAATGGTTGTAAGTCAAGGACTACCTGTATAGTTCCTGTATGTGAGAATATTTAAAAGACACTTGCTTGGACTCTAGTAACAGTATCCCCAATCCTAAACCAGTGCAAATAGGTGATGGTCAGGCCACAAATATTGCTTTTAGTGCAGTGATGGCAGACCTTTTAGAGACTGAGTGCCCAAACTGCAACCCAAAACCCACTTATTTATCGCTGGGTGCCAGGTGGGCGTGGCCCACTGGGTGGGCGTGACTGGTGGTCGTGGCAGACTGGGTGGGTGTGGCCAAGGTGGGTGTGGTCACCTCGATGTTTGTGGGAGGGACGCCTGCGAGGGCCGGGCAGGTTTGGGGGAGATCCAGGGGATCTGGCAAGTGGGACAGTGGGCAGAAGGCTTGTCTGGCGAGGCGAGGCAGGGCTGGGGTGCCATAGTTGCAGGGCAAGGCGAGGCAGGGACTGGGGCGGCGGCTGCCTGACACCATCGGCCCCCGCACACAGAGGCCAGCGAGTGCATGGGAGCCAACAGTGTCCGTCAGCAGCCACAGCCTGCCGGCCCCTTGACTGGCACATTCTGGGACTCCGCAGCCCACCACCAGCAGTTCAGAGAAGCTGCCTCTGAGCTGGATGGATGACTGACAGCTGAGGGGGCGAGGTGCCTGGGAAAAGAAGAGCATGCAAGGTCAGGAGGGATGGGACAGGGGGTGGGAAACCAGCTGTGCTGGGATGCATCCGGCCACATGGGACCTTGGCGAGTTAGCGGGTGCTGGTTGAAGAGGGACGGTTGCCATCTCCGGAGCATGGCGCACGTGCCCACTGAGAGAGCTCTGAGTGCCGCCTCTGGCAAGCATGCCATAGGTTCGCCACTACTGTTTTAGTGGATGGTGTCACAACCTATATCAAATCTGGAACTATTGAAGAACATGTTGAGCCATGAAAAAGAATATCATTCAGAAAATTGGCACAAGTTAAGAGAAGCTAGGGAGCACGGATCAGGAGGGGTAGTCCTTGAAGGCTCTATTTATCCCAGTTTACTAGCAAGAAGCATGATGTGACTCCATCAAAATGCATCTAGGGCCAAGGAAGACAGGGAACATTGGAAAGGAGGACACACGCTAATTAGTTTAATTTTCTTGGTATTTGCAACAAAAATTATAGTGAAAAACTACAAAACAAAAGTAATTAGACATGCAGTTAGTCCTTGACTTATGACAGTAATGGAGCCTGTACATCATGGTTGTAAGTCACGATAGTTGTAAAACAGATCGTTCACAGGACAGAACCAATTTTATTATCCTTTTTGCGGCAGTCATTAAGCAAACGACTTAATGTTAAAAGTAAATGCCAGTTTTGGCAAAACCATTGTAAAACACAGTCACATGACCACGGGATGCTGCAAACAGCAGTAAATATGGCCTAGTTACCAAGTGCCTCACGTTTGGTCACATGATCTGGAGGGCAACTGTTGGAAATTTGAATCAGCAGGCCCAGGGATAGGTCCATTGTAACTTTGAAGGGTGATTAAGTGACCAGTCGTAAGTTGAGAACTACTGTACCTGCACATGAATATGAAATTACTTTTTCTAGCCTCAGAAAAACTGCTTTTTCAAGTGCAATTATTTTTCCAAGAAATCTTTATGTCAACCCTGCTAACATCGGATGTTTTTGCATTGACAACAAAGAGAAATGTAGCCATATTTTACCTTTTGCTTTTAGAGTTACATGATGCTGGGAGAGGGGATGTGAACAAGAATCCAGCTAGACATAATAACACTAAACCTAGCCGAGAAAACAAGGTTATTGTAACCAGAGCTGATAAGGACTTGGCTGGGCTGGTGAACTGGAGAGGAGACCTCCGCTTCAAGCTAATTGGGGAATGTGATTTATGACTGTTAATTGAAGGAGGGAATTGTGCTTTGATACTATGTGCTCAGGGGAGGGGAATTCAGTTTTTGGCTTCGATTATGCAGTGCCCAAGTTATGCTACTTAAAATAAAGATTCTTTAAGGTAAACGATGCCTCAAAGTTCTTTTGAAGAGTTTCATCCGTTGGAACCATGACACTTTACTTTCAAAAACATATGCTAACAATAATATCAAATTGATGACAACATACTTTTCAAATTTCATCCTAAAAAAATACGGCAAATCATATGATCTGCAGATTATAGCAATCATAGATTTGACTGGCTGGCTTTAAGCCAAGTGCTGGAATCACAAAATCAATGAAATGACTTAAATAACTTAGGGTGTTGAGTGTGTTGGGAAACAATGAAGCAATAATTTATGTCACAATACAGGTAGTCCTCGATTTACGACTGTAATTGAACAAGGAATTACGGTTATAAGTCATGCTGGTTGTTAAGTGGGTCATCAAACGAGAGAGCTGTTTTTACCATTTTTGTGGTGGTTGATAAGTGAATGCTGTGGTCATTAAGCAAACCCATTGTTTCCAATGGATGGTTTTTGCCAGAAACAGGAAGTAAATACTGGTTTCCAGCAAAAATGTCATAAATCATGATCACACAATCACAGGACGCTGCAAACAGTCATAAATTCAAGTGGAAGACTGGCAATCGGAATTTCAAATGCAGATCGTAAGTACCTTTTGGGGGTGGAATCTGTCATAACTTTGAATTGTTGTTTAAGTGACTGGTCATTAAGTGAGGACAACTTTACATGAAAATTTGAATGTCTACTTTTATCAAAACAGTCCAGAACACACACACACACACACCTACAAAAATACAAGATACTTAAAAAGCTGTTGGATGGAAAACTAGAGCCAGTTTGGTTTAGTGCAGAGGCCCCCAGCCTTTTGGGCACCAGGGACCGGTTATGTGGAGAGAGGTTTTTCCACGGACCGGAGGGGGCGTGGTTTTGTGTGCTGCCTGCATCTCGTGGATGGGGCTTTGCTTGTTTGTGTGGACCGGTTGCTGGCATGCCCCAGCCCAGTACTGGTCCACAGACCGGGGGTTGGGGACCCCTGGTCTAGTGGTTAAGGCACCAGACTAGAAAGCAGGAGACCACGTGTTTTAGTCCCGCCTTAAGCATGAAAGCAAGCTGGGTGATCTTGGGCCAGTCACTCTTTCTCAACCCAACCTACCTCACAGGGTCGTTGTTGCGGGAAAAATAGGAGGAGGAAGATGTGCTAGATATGTTTGCCAACTTGAGTTATTTGTAAAAACAATGCAGGTGAGACACAAATAAAAACATAATAAAAACTTGAGGGCAAAAAGAGGACATGTCCTCCTTTGTTGGCTGTCTAGTAATCCTACATTCATGCCAGCATCCTTCAGTGGACAGAGACACCTACCCAGTTTCCCAGTTACAGGCAGACCTGCAAACCTTTGCATCGTTTTAACAGCAACGGATAACTCTTCTTGGCTTTGAAGAGTTGCTGCTCTGGGATCCGGTGGGGGAAGGTAGCCGTAGCGCATCAGCCATTCCTGTGAGGACACAATTCATATGGTACATCAAGTCAGCAGACAGGCAGAGATGGCAGGATAGTGTTTTTTGTGAGCAGAGCCCCTCGGCCTTGGTTAGCCACATAACAGGCAGGAATTCAGAAATTGTTTTCCTTCACTTAACATAGAGACACAGCTACTGGGGAAAGGTTTGCTTGCCTGAACCCACAATGGGGCAGCTCTACAAAGAACAAGATGAATGGGTTGACACATTACAGGTATTTCTTGGCTTATAACCATTAGTTTAGTGCAGGGGTCTTCCAACTTGGCCCTTTTATGACTTGTGGACTTCAACTGGCTGGCTGAGGAATTCTGGGAGTTGAAGTCCACAAGTCATAAAAGGGCCAAGTTTGAAGACCCCTGGTTTAGTGACTGCTCAAAGTTACAATGGCACTGAAAAAGGCACTTATGACTATTTTTCACACTTACGACCGTTGCAGCATCCCCATGGTTATGTGATCAGCATTTAGACTCTTGGCAACTGGCTCAGAGTTATGATGGTTGCAGTGTCCCAGAGTCATGTGATCACTTTTTGTGACCTTCTGACAAAGCAAAATCAATGGGGAAGTCAGATTCATTTAACAACCGCCTTACTAAACCTAAGAACTACAGTGATTCCCTTAACAATTATGGCAAGAAAGGCTGCAAAATGGGGCAAAACTCAGTTAACTGTCTTACTTAGCAGCAGAAATTTTGCATTCAATTGCGATCGTAAGCCAAGGACTTATCTGTACACCAGGGCACAATCTGTTTACTAGTAGCTTATTGATTAAAACACCCTTCCTCCCAGAGTTCAACCAACAGGCTAAGTGAAAATGAAGCAAACCACACCAGCTAGATCAGGGGTAGGCCACCTTGGCTCTTTTATGACTCGTGGACTTCAACTCCCAGAATTCCTGAGCCAGCATGGCTCAGCTTGGAAACCTCTCCCTTTCCCCTCAGCATGGCTGGCTCAGGAATTCTGGGAGTTGAAGTCCACAAGTCATAAAAGAGCCAAGGTTGCCTACCCCTGACCTAGATTCATACAATACTGTAAGCCATAACGCAGTTTGCTTTTGGGGATGTGAACCTCCCCCCGTGGTCTGTAAACCCTGCTTTAGGTCAAGCAGGTTGTGTGAATCCAGTCAATTGTAAAATCTAATTAGGGCATATTATATGAACATAGCCATTATATCATGGCACAGTACAAGTAGTCCTTGTTTAGGAACCCAATTTGGAACTGGCAAATCAGTTGTTAAGTGAAGTGGCCACTGAATGAAACTGCGACTGTGCTTACAATCTTTCTTCAACTTTTCTTTGCTTTATAGATCTGCAAAAATTGTAAATGTGAGGATTGCCATAAAGTTACTTTTTTCATCACTGTCATAACTGGGAATGGTTGCTGTAGGTCAGGCATGTCAAACTGCCAGCCCGTGGGCCGGATGCGTCACGCCGAAACTGCACCCACCCCATTACCGGCAATGGGGAACGTCGCGCATTTGACATGCCTGCTGTAGATTCTAAGTCAGATATTCTGATGTAATTATATTGTGCTCCTTCAAGGAAGAGTAGTATAAAAACAATTCATATATATGTATGTATATGAAGGGGGGAGAAAAGGAAGAGGAGAGATGGTTGGAGGATGAGAATGAAGGAGTGGTGAGAGTGGTGGGGACACGGGTAAGAGAGAAGTCAGACAGCGCTACGGGGAAGAAGGAGAGGGGAAGTAAGATGGGATTGCAAGTGGCCAGGAAAAGAAAAAAGGTTAGTGAACAGCAGGATGAGGTCCCAAACGAAGGGGTNATAAAAACAGCCACCCACTGATGGTTAGCCACCCTGACGAAGCCGGCAGGAGGCCGGCGAAAGCTAGGTGCTTTTAATTGTAAATAAACTGATTATAGTTTTTTATCTCCTGGTGGTCTCACGGTTGTGATTCTTTAGATATGAATTTACCCAGGAGTCAACCTCCAGCTTTTAAAATTTTTAGAGTTTTAAATGATATGTATGTATGTATGTATGTATGTATATATATATATATATGTGTGTGTGTGTGTGTGTGTATGTATATGTATATGTTACTATATATATATATATATATATATATATATATATATATATATATATATATATATATATATATATAATGTTACTAGATTATTACTACTATATTACTAGTATTATTACTACTGCATTAGTAGTAATAATTATTAGTTCTAGTAATTAGCAGTTGCTAGTAATTAGTAGTAATAATTATTAGTTCTATTACTTTGATTGGCTAACAAATAACAGGTTATTCTTCTCCAGTTGAGCATGCTCCCAGTGCCATAGATCTTATTATTATTATTTTGGGAGTTGCAGTTCCAACCTATCTGAAGCATGCTCAGTTGAAGCAAGCTGCTCTAGGGGAATTCAAGCCAAAAAATCCCCAAAGGAGCATCTTGTTCTCGTTTGTACTACGTCTTTCTTTTCTCACCTGGGGATTCCCTTTTGAGGCTGTGCTAGGACAGCAATTTTTCTCCCCAGTTGCCTGGAGGGCTGTCTCTCAAGAGGATTCATCACTGCTTCTCATTCCATTTCTCTAGATTAGAGCAATGGTTCCTCCTTCTTTACGAAGAACTGAGAACTGAGATGCAGAACCATGGAGGGGAAGCCTTAAAACGGCTTCCCGTTTGCTTCTGCTGATGCCTTCAGCTTTCAGAAGAATCCAGATGAGCTGTTCCTCAAAGCCTCTTTCCACCATTAGGGAACAGAAAGCAAGAGCATTCTGTAAGACAGCGTTTCTCAGTCTCAACAACTTTAAAATGCGTGGACTATTATAACTCTCAGGGTTCCCCAGCCAGCATAGGTTTAAACATAGGTCAAAAACATCATAAACTATGGTCATGTGACTCTGGGGCCCTGCAAACAGCTATAAATCTCAACTGGTAGGAAAAAAAGAATAAAAGTGCCGTCAACCCTTACATTTAAAGTGGTTTGCATATTACATAAAACCATAGTAATAAGTGCTAAAAAGCACCTTTGGGACAATGCTTTAGCTATAGGTAATAATCCCAGATATAGAGGACAACTCATTCGCAGTTGGAGGTAATTCTCTGCCTGCATCTCTCTTTATGACCATCAGACAGCACTCTAGGAAGTAAGGAACTTAGAGGCAACTCTAGCCAAACCCCAATCTACGAAAGAAAGCTATACCCAAACAGAACCAAATAATGAACAAATAACTCCCAGAGGATTTGATCCTACTGATAAACCCTTGGAGGAAGACAAGTGGAGGTATGCCACACATAGAAGGAAATACCATGCTCAAAGAAAGAAGCAGTATACAACTAACAAACCTCCTGTGGCTGAGAATCTAACCAAAATAATTAGGCCTACTGATTACTACCCTTTCCTCCTCTTCCACATTGGGACGAATGACACAACAGAGAACCTGAGTACAATAGTGAGAGATTGCAAACAATTGGGCAATAAAGTTAAGAAGCTAGGAGCACAAGTAGTGTTCTCATCTGTACTCCCAACGAAAGGCTAACACCCATTGAGGGGAAAAAAGAATTCTAGAAATAAACCATTGGCTAAACGGTTGGTGTCGCCAAGAAAACTTTGGTTTCCTGGATCATGGACTGCATTTCCAATGCGAAGGACTCCTGGCAAGGGATGGGCTGTACCTCACGAAAACAGGGGAAAATGTACTCAGAAAAAGACTGGCCCAATTCATCAGGAGGGCTTTAAACTAAAATTGAGGGGGGAGGGTGACCAATCTTTAGAATCTCTAGAACCCAAAACCAATCATAAATCCCAAGAAAACAAATCAAACCATGAGATAGGCAGAGACGAGAAAAAAGAAAAATCCAAACAACAATCAGGAGATGCAGGAAACATGCCCACGAACAGGTATAAAAGTTTTAAATGCTTATATACAAATGTTCAAAGCTTGGGAAACAAACAGGGCGAACTAGAAGCAATGGTACCCGAGGGAGGGTATGACATAGTTGGCATTACAGAAACCTAGTGGGACAAAACCCATGAATGGAATGGACTGATGGATGGATACAAATTGTTTTAAAAAAACAGGTCTACAAAAAGAGGAGGGGGAGTTGCATTATATGTAAGAGAACACTACATATCTGCAGAAATGCACATGATCCAAGACAAAAATCTCTCCAGAATGTATATGGGTCAATATAAAAGAGAAAAAAAAGTGACATTACCATAGGTGTATATTACAGGCCACCCAACCACTCAGAAGAAATATAGGTTCTCCTGCTTGAGCAGGGGGCTGGACTAGAAGACCTCCAAGGTCCCTTTCAGCTCTATTCTATTCTAAGTGGCTCTGAACAGCTTTTGAGTGAGTTTAATACATTCCCAATTTAACACAGCCCCCTGGCCCGTTGAAAGCCTCCTTTGTCTGACTCCATGGAGGCTTCTGCAGAATCCAAGAGCCGCCCCCTGGTTTCTCGAGACCCCCGTGACCTCACTACAACCACCCTTTTGCCTCAGTTTCCAGGACGGGTCAATTTCCCCCAATGTATCTTACCCATTGATGTATAACATCCATGCACACAACCCCTGCTGTTTGCAGCTGGTTGGGTTAGTTGTCTTTAAAAAAAAAAAAAAAAAAAAGGTCAAGCAGCTAGTCAACATTACTTTCCACTGGAAGGAAAGACAGAAATGCAGCTGCAATTATCGGGAAAGATGGTCCAAGCCTGGAAACACTGGATTCTTTCCAAAGATACTAATTTTTTGAATGGCCTCTTCTCAAAGAAGGGAAAAAAATGAAGGAAATGGGGCACAGGACAGAGAGGCTGAGATTTTAGGAGTGGCAGGTAAGATAAGATAAGATAAGATAAGATAACCTTTATTTTTCCATCCTGGTTGCAGAACAAAAAAACCAACAGCTCTAAAGTATGTTATTAATCTTTCATAGAAGGCACTTTTGAAACACTTGCAGTATTTATTGTTCTTGTCCTCCAAATAGACTTGAAAGCTGGGCTGCCTTTTTCCCTGTTTCACAGCGAGGAGAGTAGAACAGAAGAGCTCTTTTAAAGTATATAAAACAGGACCATAAGTATTTATTTATCCACTCCACATTTCTTCTTTCAACTTGTAACATTTCTTCTTTCAACTTGTATTCAGGGATGAGCAGTTCCCGAATTATTCCAAGCTGCATCTTTCAGGAGGTGTTTTTTTTATTTTAAAAAAAGTGAATTCTGCAAATTCATTAGGTATTGTGGGAGGAAACCATAGATTTTAGTGATTAAATATGTTTTATTAACCCAAAGTAAAACTCTTTATCCCTAGTTTAGCCACCCTCCATTCCTGCTAAATTAAGTACGCTGCAAAATTGATAGCACTTCTACAGAGAATTGCTTCTTCAAGCAAGTGAGCCAAATTATACATTAAGAGAAACAGCAATCAACTCAGCTTGAAGCTAGTTCAGTTTTAGCAGCTGAGGAAGGGAAAGGAATTTCATTCTAGCTATGGAGTCTGTAGAATAGCTCAGGCACCAAGCAGCAGGCATATTTCCACATTGTAAATAAATGCTAGTTGCCACGCACCTGAATTTTCAATAAAAGGTGAAAGATTTATATGATCTGAAGAGAAACCAAGCACCTGAATTTTGACCCCAGAACCATGGGGATGCTGCAAGATTTTATGTGCAAGCACTAGTCATAAGTCATTTTTTTCCAGTACTGTTGTAACTTTGAATGGTTGCTAAATAAATGATTGTAAGTTGAAGACTTACTTGTAGCTTACTCTACTTTTCCATAAGAACAGAAAATGAGATACATTTAAAGACACTAAAATATAGTAGCAATAAAACATTGGATTTCTGAATGGGGATAGAATTAATACAGTAGAATTATAATTATTATTATTATCATCATCATCATCATCATCATCATCATCGATAAGGACTTGATAGGTAGACAAAAATGCCAAATCCAGTCTGAACGTCTGGCTGACTATGCAATTAATAATAATAATAATAATAATAATAATAATAATAATAATAATAATAATAATGATGATGATGATGATATGATGATGATGATGATCATGATCATGATCATGATGATCATGATCATGATGATCATGATCATGATGATGCCTTGGATGCAATCCCAAAACAACTGGAGCACCACTTGAACACCATTGGCATTGACAAATTCGCCATTAGTCAATTGCAAAAGGCGGCCTTACTAGGAACTGCTTCCATCCTGCGACGATATCTGTAATACCATCAAACATCCACATCTGCCTATCCCAGGACCTGGGTAAGGACTCAATAGGTAGACAAAAATGCCAAACCCAGTCTGAACATCTGGCTGGCTGTGCGACGATCAATAATAATAATAATAATAATAAAGTTGGAGCTGAGCTGAAATGTCACAAAGCATGTGGTGGCTTAGAGCCTTGTAACCCGTTCAGTGTTTCCAAGTGATGGCAAGGGCATAATGTACGCTTTCTAAAATTTTTCACAAAATCCTTTATTAGTTGCTTAGCAAGCAAGAGTTTCAAGAATCACCATTCCCCATGATCAAAATTAGTGCCTGTGCGAGGATCAGAACTGCTCAAGAACCAAATATGCCATCAGGAAAAAGATGGTGGCAATTTTCACAGGCCATGAAAGGGTCTGTTCAAAGAATTCCACAAATTCCCACTGTGGGAATTTGGGAGCCTAACAGATGTCTCCTCCCTGTGGCCAAAGTCTGGAAGTCAGCAAATCCCAAATCTGAAAGGCAGCTTGGTTCTGAATGAACTTACAATGTCAGGCAGCTCGTTGGGGAGCTTCCACAGCATTTTAAAAACCATGGTTTGTTAAATTTTTGAATAAATCGCAGCTGGCTCATGCAAGATGCTAAGTCGGGATCAAACCACATCCTCTTAAGGTTTCGTGTGTTTGTAAATCACATTTGCAGATGTGAAAGAGAAACCCTCTGTAAATGCTTCAGGTATTTCCAAATCCTGCCAGTACTGAAAAAACAGATGCATATACTGCTGAATCTCATTATGATGCTCTGGACAACGAGGATCAAAAAGATCTGTAAATCTGATAATATATTACTGCTCCCAGGGCCCCCAATTTCCCACAATTTATCACCGAGTTACAGGGGGAGAGAAAGAGGAAAGAAACTGATGCTAGGGATCAATGATTTCCTGCCTGTAGGCAGTCTGTAACTTGAAACTCCAAGGAGTCAATCTGATCTTTCTTGAAAGAGGAACAAAATGCTACAAAAGACACATGCACAACAAATCTGTGAATCCCATTCAGCCTTTATTATGATCCTCCCAGGTGAGTTATATTTATCTTGCAAGCTTTGCTTTTTCCTACATCTCTTAATCCCAGGCACCAGTTTCTTTCCCCAACTCATGATCTGTCCTCTCTGCCTTATAATAGCCTCCCATAGTCCAATAATCTCCCCCAAAATATTGTTCTCCTTCCTTCACATTCAGCCTTCTGCCCCCTCCCTTTGGGCAGGAGAAATGGGGAGAGATTATTCTCAACTACCCAAGCGTTTATCCTAACTCTCTGGACCCTTCCCCACTTTTCCTGCTTTCTTGAGGGTATCTGTACTCACCAGCCCTTTTATCTTGTCTCGGGAACTAGATTGTAGGACTCTAGATGGTCCTGCCTTGATCTGAGGGATGTGGCAGAGCGATGCCAGGAAAATAAGCAGTTCAAGCATCTTGGCAGTGATCGTCTCAGGCACAGCCGAAATCCTATATAGTCTCTCTCCTCTCCCCCCACTTATCTCCCCTCCCCTCCTTCCTGTCTCTCTCTTCTCTCCGCCCTGCTAGTCAATTTAAGAGGGGGTGAGGAAAATGGGACGAGAACCCCTTGGATTTTCTAGTCAGGGAGAACTGGTTGTAATGGAAAAAACAAGTAATAATAATAATAATAATAATAATAATAATAATGATGATGATGATGATGATGATGATGATGATGATGATGATGATGATGACTCGATAGGTAGACAAAATGCCAAATCCAGTCTGAACATCTGGCTGACTGTGCGATGATCCATAATAATAATAATAATAATAATAATAATAATAATAATAATAATAATAATAATAATAATAATAATAATAAAGTTGGAAGGGACCTTGGAGGTCATCTAGTCCAACCCCCTGCTCAGGCAGGTAACCCTATACCATTTCGGACAAATGGCTGTCCAGTCTCTTCTTGAAAACTTCCAGTGTTGGAGCATTCACCACTTCTGGAGGCAGGTTGTTCCACTGGTTAATTGTTCTCACTGTCAGGAAGTTTCTCCTTAGTTCTAGGTTGCTTCTCTCCTTGATTAGTTTTCCACCCATTGCTTCTTGTCCTGCCTTCAGGCGCTTTGGAAAATAGCTTGACTCCCTCTTCTTTGTGGCAACTATTTTCCAAAGCGCCTGAGGGCAGCACAAGAAGCAACGGGTGGAAAACAATTAACCAGTGGAACAACCTGCCTCCAGAAGCGGTAAATGCTCCAACACTGGAAGTTTTTAAGAAGAGACTGGAGGAGGAGCTCAGCAGATGAAACTTAGGTATATTATTAATAATAATAATAATAATAATAATAATAATAATAATAATAATAATAATAATAATAATAATAATAATAATAATAATAATAATAATAATAAAGTTGGAAGGGACCTTGGAGGTCATTGAGTCCAACCCCCTGCTCCGGCAGGAAACCCTATACCATTTCAGACAAATGGCTGTCCAGTCTCTTCTTAAAAACTTCCAGGGTTGGAGCATTCACTGCTGAACTTCTGCCTGTCAGAAAGCTGGAAAGGAAGACAGAGGAAGATTTGAGAAGGCCCAAATCAGGAGGAGTCCAGTTGCACCTTTTCAGGCAAACAAATACTATTAAAAGGCAAGTACACTACGTTTTCATAAAGTGTACTGATCTAAGGTACCACCAGACTGCTTTCGAATTTCGACTACCATAGACTTGCACGGTTTTCCTCCTACAGGATTTATTAATACTTAAAATGTCTTATTAAGGACTTAACAGTTGAGTCAAAATTAATGCAGGATGTGAAAGAGAAGACTGCCAGTCGAACTGCTGGGTTCTTGCTTCTGTAGCCTAAGTTGTGGGAGGAACAGGGGAAGGAAGCTGTTAACCCTAAACCAGTATTTCACCCATGGAGTCTGGTAAATCAGTTTACAACATCTGAATCTCCTTCCCCACCACCGCCTTTATTCCTGACTTGGCTCCTACGTTGCGCTAAGCCTTGTGCTAGATACTAAAAAGGGTTTTGATATGGTTCAAATTACATTTTTGGAGCACATTCTCAAAATACTTGGATTTTTTTTACAACAGGGCTTCTTCATCCTAAGCTAAAGCAATGTTTCTCAACCTTGACAACTTGAAGATGGGTGGATTTCAACTCCCAGAATTCCCTGCCGGCATGGAGCACCCGTTGACATTCTACACAAGAGAGGAATAAGAAATTTCCATTCCACAAACATGTAGACGTTAAAAGAAAAGTCAGTTGTAAAGTGGAAAATGTAACAAATTAAAGCCACTGTCTGGCCCTATTTGGCTAAAATGAATTGAAATTTGGCCAGAGTGAATTGAAGAGACTTATTCTGTGTAGAGTGTCAATGGGTGCTCCATGCTGGCAGGGAATTCTGGGAGTTGAAGTCCACCTATCTTCAAAGTTGTCAAGGTTGAGAACACTGCTCCTTTGAATACTTCACAAGTTATTTGGTCAACTTATAACCATCAGAGGCTGATCTTCCCAGCTTTGAAAGCTACTAGATGCAATTGGGCATTAATTAATTGGAAAACCATTAAATTCTGATCTGGAATCCCATGAAAACCCTTATGAGAAAGATAAAAGCAGCATTGTCAAATAGGCTCCACCCTTTTTTGGCATGTAGATGCTGTTTTTCACCAGTCTGTCACTCCTGCTGCTTAATCTTTGTAGGCTCGGGCTATTTGCTGATATTCTGCCTTAGTTATGTGCCCCTTTTTCCACTTTTTAAATGACATCGGACTAATCCTAATTTGAAAATGGGGGAAATGTTTCATTGGAAGTCAAGCAATTAAGACCTTAACGCAACTGATTAGTATTCTAAGCTTTTTCAGAAGCTATGTTCTGAATGTAGCTTATATCAATACAGGTAATCCTCAACTTACAACAATTTAATGACATTCAAAATTACAATGCCACTGAAAAACGTTTTTCACAGTTACAACCTTTGTAGCATCCCCATGATCATGTGATCAAAATTCAGATGCTTGGCAACTGGTTCATACTTATGATGGTTGCAGTGTCCCAAGGTCACATGATCACCTGTTGCAAACTTCTGACAAGCAAACTCAATGGAAAAGCCAGATTCACTTAACAACCAGATTAATAACTTATCAACTGCAGTGATTCACTTAACAACTGTGGCATGAAAGGTCATAAAATGGGGCAAAACTCACTTAACAAATGTCTCATTTAACAACAGAAATTTTGGGCTCAATTGTGGTGATAAAGTCGAGGACTATCTGTAACTTGCTTGCCAGTGTAATACAATTAAAACATGTAAATATGGTAACAAAATATGGCTCAGATGCTTTAGATTTTTAAAGGTACATGGAAAATTTAGATGTTTAAGACACGTAGTTGAAATAAAATCAATAATTTAATTCTATTTGAAACTAAAAAGACAAAAGCTAATATGGATATGTATGATACATGAAAAAATTGAATTTGAATGTCCAATTTTGGAAACTCAGTGGGCCCAAGGTTTTAAGAAACATAAAATATATTTCTTAAGATTGGAGTGAATTCACTCGAAGAACCATACGGAATAGCTATCACTGTTTGTATTTTACTTTCCTCTGATTGCACTACTACTGTTTACAAGGTTCCTCAAATAATGTTTTAGAATCAGGGTTTTTCTGTGGTTGGTATAAAAAAGTTGAAGTCTCTTTGACTCAGATGATTTAGTTAAGCTCCTTTATGGATCCTTTTGGGATTTAAGTCATAATTTATATTAGAACAGCCTTTAGGGAAAACAGTTACATGAAATGCAATCATGAATGATACTATAAAAACATGGAATTTCATTTTTTAAATTATTTCTACCTCTATCAGGGCTGGAATTTGTCAAAGGAAATTATAAAGGTACAAAACAATCAGTGCTCCAAATATTAAAAAATAGATCTAAGAAATGTGCTTCCTACCAATAATTGAAATCCGTTTATGTTATAAAAATGAGAAGATGGAGAAATAAGTTTCCTAATAGTGTAGATTTAATATTACATTGAAGAATTTGGCTACTTCTATATTAATATTTTATAAATCTTTCCCACCCACCCTTTTGAGTTCATTTTATTCACTACCACTGTTCATTTTACTTTCCTTTGATTGTACTACCACTCTTGTATTTTTTTTGTCTTTCTTTGTAAAAGTTTAGTAAATAAACACATGCTTTTAAAAAATACTATACCTTCATATTTGGGATTTAGCTTAGGGTGTTATGCCCAATCAAGTTTTTTTTCTTTTTTCTTTGTAGACCATTTAACTTTGCTTCCCTTTTGTGGGGGGTGAGTGGGTGGGTGGGTGGATGCATCAACACAGCTCCTGTTTACCCACATTCCTTCAAACCTGCCTGTTTAATTTCCGGCTTCACACCTGGCTACCTTTTGACAAGCTGAAGGTGAAAGGTGAGAGACTGAAGGGCAGATCTCACAGGTTGGAAAATGGTTGGGGGGAAGGGAGACGAAGGCTGGAGGAAAGGCAGGTTTATTGATTTACAGATAGTCCTCAACTTACAACAGTTCGTTTAGTGACCGTTACAACGACACTGAAAAAAGCGACCGATGACCATTTTTCACATTGACAACTGTTGCAGCATCGCTGTGGTCACATGATCAAAATTCAGATGCCTGGGACATGATTCCTATTTATGACGGGTCAGTAGATGTAACTGGGAAAGCACAGTCTTTCAAATAACTTGGCCCCAGACCATGCGGGGCACCCGACAAAGGTGACAACCAGCACATTGAATTGGAAGCAAATCCACAGCCAGTACAGCTCCTGCAACAGAAGTGATACATGTTCAAATTTAGACTTGCACAAAACCATGTGGGCCATCGCATTTTGAACCAATGGAAGCTTCTGGATTCTTTTTGAGGGCAGCCCCATGTCGAGTGCAATGTAGTAGTCAAAAGAGGAAGTGACTAGGGCAGTGGTTCTCAACCTGTGGTCCGCGGACACCTGGGAGGCCTCAATGTCATCACAGGGGGATCTGTAAAGGCTTGAAGAAATGTTGTGATTTAATTCTTGAGTTAAGGCTTGGTGGTCTGTGGCCAGAAAAAGGTATTTAAAGAGGGTTTGTGGTGAAGAAAATGTTGAGAACCACTGGATTAGGGCATGGACTGTGAGCAGGGCTAGATTCATTTCTGAATGTGTGGGGGGGAGGGGAGTGCATTTTTTTTTAAAGCCTTTCAGTCACAGAACAATTTAATGCTGAGCCACAGCCTAAACATAGCTTATTTATGAAACCCCATGCTCTGCTATTAACTGCACTGGTTAGATTCTCCAAACAGAACAATACAGTTGTAAAACCACAGAAGAAAAAGCTACCTGAACTTTTGGGTACTGAATTCTCCCCTTGAACTGTTCTTGCTAATGAGAAGTTGTTTCTAAATTCACATGGAACTGGACTTCCTGTAACTTAAGATCATTC